GCGACGGTGGCTCCGGTGGTCTTCTCTCGACGCGGAGATCTTGGAGGTGCTCTGTAATAATAAAGGGGCCTAAAAGTCTGGAACAAAGTTTCGATATCGGGGGCACATTATTTAAAATTATTTAGAGGAACCCTGGAAGACATTGCATCACTACGTATTGAGGCTTCTCTACTGCTCGGGCCGAGCTAATGGGTGACGTGGAAGGCCGGGCAGGGGAGGAGGATGTTTCGGGTGGGTCAACGGGGTCTCGGCCTGTGGACAACGCAAGATAGGGATCCAAACTGTAGTATACTCTCAGTACATGTTGTCTAGCGGGCATGTCACTGCTTTGAGCATGTCCCACAGTGAAAACGCCAAACTTTGAAAGCAAGACCATGCTGAATTCGCGGAAACCGGACCTCATGGTTGGCAGGCCACACCCAACAGAACTCAAGCTTGAGTCTTTTAATCCTACACCTGAAACTAAACCGCTGACCCTAAACCACTTGTATCTCTCTACAGACCTCGCCTGGTATTGCCGAGTGTGAGCGTCAAAAACAAACAAAAAGGAGCCACGACCAAGCATGTGCCCAGTTGTGAGTGCTGAAAGCAGGGAAACCTCAAGCTGAACTCTTCCCCATGAGGATTATTTAAGCGGCCCGGGTGTGCAATTGCCGTACCAAACTGCAACCAGTCAGTCAGCTTTGGGTTCGAGTCGATTTGGAGCTCAGGGCTTAGACGCAGCTTAGGCTTTCGTGTTTGGAGTGACGGGGTGCGCAGTATGGGTTTCCACAGCAGTACACCTACGGACTTTGGATTTCGGCTCCTTGAGCCCTGAATCCCGAACGCCCAAACGCCAACTGCAACACCCCTAAACCCTACTGGTGGATGGTGAGATTGCTGCATGGTGCATGGTGCATGTCCTGGTTTAGCAAAACACGCATGGACAGCTGCACGACTGGACAGGTATGAGTGAACTAACGTGGTGGTTGGTCATACTGCATGTTGCAACTTCTGAAGCCTTGGGTGATGTGAGTTGGTAGTAGTACCGAAAGCTGTTTCACGGGGCTCCTGGAGTACGGAACTAGGGGTGGGTTCTTTCGGTTTAGCGTTTGTGCTCTGGGAGTCTGCTGTCAGTTGGGATCTGTGTTATGCTTGGACACTTGGCGTTGGTGTTTCTGGGATCTTGTCTGACAGCACCCTGTGAGCTAATGGGCTTGCGGGCAGTTAATGATCATCGTCGTACCTACTTCTGCAGACCTTGCCAGGCTAGTCCGAGAGTGAGTGTCAAAAAAAACCCCCAAACCCTAAACCCCAAAAACAGGGCAGAAGGAAAAAAGGGCTCACAAAAAAGAAAGAAAAAAACAAACCCTAAACCCCAAAGTCCTAAGCTCTAAATCGTAGTTCCGCTGCGAGGTTTGGGCCCCTGCCGTTGCAAATCTCATCCTCCTGCCTTTGGTGGGATCAATCGACCTCTTTTGGATCGGTCAATCCCGAGCCCTGGTAGCAACAATAGTAAAAGTTAGGAATAGCAGTAGAAGTAGTAGGCATAGGGGCATGAGTAGGAGCAGGAGTAATCGTAGCAGTCGTAGTAATAGTAGTAGTCTTAGTAATAGTAGTAGTCGTAGTAGTAGTCGTAGTAGTAGTAATAGTCGTAGTCGTAGTCGTAGTTCGGTCTCGCACAGTGGGTCAGGAGGGAGGTCGATTCGGAGTTGGCCAGCGAAAGGGAAAGCCGTGCAGTATGGGTGTGTGTATGTGTGTGTGTGTGTGTCGTTTGGGATGGAATAGGTTAGGATCTGGCCCTTTGCCACGAATAACGAGAGAGAGCCCAGACCAGTCAGAGCGAGCGTTCAGCACCCGCACCGGATCGTTTCTAACTCAGGAGACCCTTGGGCGATTGCTGGCATGGGTGGCTTGCCTTTGTCGCAACGAGAGTGTCAAAAGTTGCAGGTGTGCTCTTAATCAAAGAACGACCTGACTTTGTTCATACTTTGGGTTAGCTCCAGAGCAGAACTCGTGGCAGCAACGAGGTTGGCGGCCGCCGTGCACACAATCGCGTGCAGGTTGCCGTAAGGATGCAGTTCTTTGTCTTTCTACTCAAGTATCGCACCAGGTGCTGCCAACCAAGTTTACAGCACAATCTATTTCCTCATCAGCTTCCTCCCTGCCGTGGTTACGCCTCGTATAGCTGAGGAGAGCCTGCCGCCTGTCCCGGTCCAGCGTATGTTCACATTGCACATAGCCAGTTGATACCATTCGGGAGGTGGGTGTCGGCTTTTTTTGCGGCACAGAGGATAGTTCAACACACGGACGAAGCCAGAACTCTTGTAGGATTTGTCTCGTGGCCTTCCTAAGCGGGTCACACAGAAGCCACCCAGGGCGCAGCTGAAGACGGTCCGTGGAGATTCTTTGTAATGATGAACCCAAGACTGTGAAGATTCCCGTCATGGTGCTCGTGGTGGTGTTGAGAACAGTTACGCGAGGGAAGCTGATGGATGAGGATGCAAGGTAAGAGCATGCTGATGCAGATGGCTGTGATGAAGAGCAGGAAGACCAGCATGATGATGGTGGAATGGGCCGTGGTGGTGGCAGAGGGGGGTGGGGGGCGTTGGTCAGTTTTCAATTCAGGTTAAGGGTGCTTGTTATTAAAGAATTCGGAATCTAGAGATGGACGACCGAGAGGGCAGATGTTCCAGTTCTCACCCAATGTTCACCACGTGAAATAAAAATCTTCAACTACAAACATCAGAAAAGGCCATACGTCTCCCTAGACCTAAACTAACCCCTGAAGCCTAAACGAATTTTGCCAGGAGATCGCAAGGGGGCGGAAGTCGATGGCGGCCAAGTGGGTGAGACTGGGTTCTTGTTCAAGAGTTTAATCTACGTTGCCATAATGGGGATCTATAGCACTATAGCAAATAACAGATAGCATGCTTTCTTTATTATGGTATCTCAAAGTAAACCCCTTAATATTGAATAATTTGCTTTCTTTATTCTGTTAATAATTCAAATCAAATCCCTGAACAGTAAACTATATGCTTTCTTTATTATTATTATTATTATTATTATTATTTGTATTATTATTATTTGTTAACTCAGATCAAATCCTCAACAAGAACCCAGGAGAGAAGCCCTTGGCTTTGCTTGCCTCATGGGCGCCTGTGGCACTCTGGCGCTGGTTCCCTCGTCTTGGAATGGCCTTCACTTTTTAGGGTCTAGGGTTTAAATAGGCCCGATGCAAAAAAAAAAGGGGGTTTAAATTAGGGTGGGAAGCCTGTTGCAAAAAGGGTTTAGGTTAAGAGAGTTGCTGTGGGGGCCTTTCTGTTGATTTGAGTTGCCGTAGTAAAGAAAGCATATTAGTTGCTATGGATCCCGATTACGGTAACTTAAACTCCTTAACAAGTTTTCGAGTTGCTAGTGCTGCTAGTTGGAGACCAAGAAGCCACCCGTTCCAGTCTGGACTAGACCACCAAGGTGAGCTTTCCCCACGTCGTGCTGAAGCTGATATCCGATAGACCGCAAGTCTTAGCAGAAGCAATACCCTACGCACGCATCCGGGGACTCTCCTTGATAGCCACTCTCTGCAGCACGGTGAGCTTCGCGACCTTTCGAGGGCTTCTGGACTTCCGCACCCCATTGAGGGTGTCTTTGGCAGCGAACATCCTGAATGCCTGCCTTGTCGCTTGCCTGCATGCTCCGCGATTTCCTGGCCAGATTCGGGATTTGCTCGAAACCCGTCCTCAAGACTTAGGCCTTAAGCCCGCAAACCTGGATTTTCGGGATGCAAGACTAACCCTGACCAACTTCCAAGAATGGCGCCAAGGACCCACTTCTGATGTTTGGCTTTGGCTTGGGAGTCTCGGGTGTGGCTGCTGCCACATCCATCGCAGAGCTCTTCTCTGCAGTGACTTTCATGCCAGGGCCTTTGAACAGGCTTTGATATTAGGGCCCAAACAATCACTAACGGTTTCCGGATAATATGTTTATACTATGGTGACTTTACTCCCAAACCCCAGGCTAGTCATTAAGGCACGTAACATCGATTTTAGGGTCTAGTTTAGGACTTCGGGTTTAGGACAGCCTAGGTCCTTCCCTTCAGTGCATTGTGATTATGCACACCCTTCTGCCCACTTCGGGCCCATGACTCTTCTAGGCATCCGGCCGGATTGAACATGCTGCTTAGGGCCGTAGCAGCGCAGAACGAGACAGAGCCTGAACCCGATCGTTGCCGCTTTGGTTCAAGCTTTTGTAAGTTTTGTGCGCCCGAGTCCACTCACTCTTGCTTCCCAACAGCCATGGCGGAGCCAGCGCAGAAGAAGGCGCGCACATCTCGTACCTTCCTCTTCTCCTCGGAGTCTGTGAACGAGGGTCACCCAGACAAGATCTGCGACCAGGTGTCGGATGCTGTGCTGGATGCCTGCCTGAAGGCAGACCCCAAGAGCAAGGTGGCCTGCGAGACGGCGACCAAGGACAACATGGTCATGGTGGCGGGAGAGATCACCACCGGCGCAAAGCTCGACTACGACAAGGTGGTGCGTGGAGTCGTGGCACAGATCGGCTTCGACAGCTTCGTGGATGATCTTTCCAGTGTGGACAGCAAGGGCCTGAGCCACAAGACCTGCGAGGTTCTGGTCCGCATCAACAAGCAGAGCCCGGACATTGCCGGTGGAGTGCATGTCGGTAAGGACGAGATGGATGTTGGAGCTGGGGACCAGGGTATCATGTTCGGTTATGCTAGCGATGAGACTTCAGACTGCATGCCGTTGACCCACTCCATGGCCACAAGGCTCGGCAAGACCTTGACGGAGGTGCGCAAGAGCGGTGAGTGCTGGTGGTTGCGGCCGGATGGCAAGACGCAGGTGACCATTGAGTACATGCAGCATCCCGACGGCAGTGTGGAGCCCAAGAAGATCCACACCGTGGTGATCTCCACCCAGCACGCGGAACCATCCAAGGCCAAACGCACCCAGGAATGTGCCGGCTATACCGGTGCGGAGATGGTGGCCCCCAGCATGGAGCAGATGAACAAAGAGATTGAGGAGAAGGTAATCAAGCGGACGCTTCAGTCGATCAAGCTGAAGAACGGCCAGCCGGCCATCAGCTTGTATGGCAGCCACACACACCTGCACATCAACCCTTCCGGCAAGTTCATCATCGGCGGGCCCCAGGGAGATGCAGGCTTGACTGGTCGGAAGATCATCATTGACACGTATGGCGGCTGGGGAGCCCATGGCGGTGGTGCCTTCTCCGGCAAGGATCCCACCAAGGTGGACCGATCAGCTGCGTACATCTGTCGCCAGATGGCCAAGTCCGTGGTGAACAGCGGCTTGAGCGCCCGCTGCCTGGTGCAGCTGTCCTATGCCATTGGCGTGGCAAAGCCCTTGTCCCTGTTTGTGGAGACCTATGGCAGCGAGAAGGGCAGCCTCACCGTTGATGACATCACCAAGGCAGGGGACCAGAAAGGACATATGCATAAGCATCTTACAAGGACATCCCTGCCTTATTCGGTTTCGTTACAAAGGGCCCCGATGAGTTGTATGGGATATCCCTATCCTGGTTTTTGTCCATATGCTTTTGTTTTGCCCTACCAAGGTGCTGAAGATCGAGTTTGATTGCCGGCCCGGTGCCATCGCCCAGTCGCTGGCTCTGCGTGAGCCCAAGTACCAGGAGACGGCGGCTTACTGCCACTTCGGCCGCGAGCCTTGCACCAAGGGGGGCATCAAGTTCTTTGAGTGGGAGAACCCCAAGGACTTGTCTAAGTACAAGGCCATGAGCACGGATCAGGTGGATGCTGCGCTGAAGGGCAGCACCTACCTTACAAAGTGGGTGGACTAAGTGTGCAGGCAACCCAGAAACTGGGCTTGCCCTGCTGTCGCTGGACCTAGACAGCCTGTGATGCCTCAGATCCGGCGGCTCCAGTGCCGCCGCGTTGGGCAGAGCCAGCTGTTTTGGCACAAAGCTTTTCTTTGATATGTAAACGAACCTTTGTCTTCAGCTTAGAGGCTTAGACTTGCACATGATGGCGGGAAAATTGAGCGGAGGCACAGAGGACGGCTTAACTGAATTTGGTGTTGCCTCGACCTTGAGCTGTGTCATTGCTACAGCAAGACCTGCAATTACTGAAACCAGTATTACCACGACTGCTGCTGCCAACACAGCTGGCTGGAGCTTGTCCCGGGACCTAGCGTCTGGAGTTTAGCTCAACGAAGGTGTGAATTAGAGAGTGAGCCCTGCAGGTGAGCATGAATCCTACAGCGACGGCATTTGAGCAAGCCACCCCAAACGGAAACAAATAGCACCCGCCCGAGCCTTGATTTTGAAGCCGAGCAAATTTGTCCGCATGATATCATTGCACATGCTAGAATCTGCTTGACGGTCTCCAATTCCCGAACGCAGACCTAGTGGTTCGAAGCGCAACTATACCAGCAGCCTTAATCATGCGCCAAACTTGGTCGCGCATGCCAAACTCCGATGTATGAGAGTTGTACTGACGGCATATTGACAGGTGAGCCAAGCTCCATTCCATGTCTGTCAGCACTGAGGTTTGAGCAGTTGACAGAAAGCCTGCAAAGCTAACGATGCCCAAACGGGGGGCTTTGTTAATCCTCTACAGTCACGTGTTTGTGTGGGTCTTTGTTTTTTGGCCGAGGTGGGGGCTGCTTGTATGTCTCCGCGGAATTGGTGCGCAATTGGTGTTTTCGTGTTTTCAGTCAGATTGGCCTGGCGAGATAGGGTAGGTGCTACTTAATGTCTAGGGTTCAGAAAAGAACTCCCATGACCGCTTGAAAAATGCCAGGCGACATGTCCGAACATGAGCGCCGAAAAATTCACCCCTCGCCTTGCTTGCATAAACCCGGCATTTCTGACGAAAGCCCATCAGAGCATACTTTGCGAAGGTCCCTGCTGCGACGACGCGGGCTGCTGGAAGGGCTCCCATCCTTACCTGACGCCTGCTTGCCTATGAAGGGCGGCGTGGGTTCGGGACTCACAGATTAATATAGAAGTGTCGCATAGATTCTGCCGAAAAAATGACCGCTGGGCACGGAGAGTCCTGTCAGTGCTTCTGAGCAAGGGGGAGGGGGAGGGCTCTCGGAAGCACCAGCGAAACCTCCCATTTTGGGGTCTTCCCACTGGTTGAGTAGAGGTCGGTAAAAACAGATAGTAATAGCGAAGTGGCATTCCCTTGTGACCCGTCTGTGGTTGTGGTTGCCCTCTATTCTCCATTCGAGTCTGAACGTTTCTACGTACAAGCGTGCACTGACACACTGCGATGAGACGATCGGCTCGACCACAAAGGTCACAGACCTTTTGCATATGGTCCCTCTCTCTTTCGCAGCCTGCTAGCTGAGGATGCGAAGACCATCAGGTCGATCTTGAACAGTGGCTTCGCTGTTCAGGCAGGGCAGCTTGTCAAGCATGAGATCCGGTCTTAAGAAGTGTCACTCCTTTGCCGCGAGGTGAGATCCATGTCGACGAACTTGATGTTCCTGTTTGCGGCTGCATGGCTGATGAAAGCCACAGCATGGCTTGCGCATGCCTTCGGATAGTCAAAACTGCCGTAATTTGTGTCGGTGGCAGAAGAATCGATCAGACGAGGTGCGAAGGGTGACAGCCATAGATCCATCGGGCGTGCAGGCGGCGGCTTACCAAGCAACGGCCTCAGCACCTGTGTCAGAGTCATCAGAGTTTCACGACACGCGAGAAGCTCGGAGAGCTTCGGCAAGACATGACAGCCCCCTCCCAACTAGACAACACCCAACCCCTCGAGCCACTCATACCCACCCCGTGAGACCTTGGCTGTGAGCTTCCGAAGGTGACGCAGCAGTTCTGGAACCTGGGAGGACCTGAGCCTTCCACCCAAAGCTGGAAATACTTACATCATATTACCCTTATAGAGTACCCATATAGTACCCTTATAGTACCCTCATAGTATCCTTATAGTGCCGCTTATTTACTTTGTTTCAGGCTTGAAAAACCGCATTAGACGCGAGTCTGGTGTTGAGGCTTCGGTGACGTGACCTCAGCTCTGCTTTCCGAAACCCACCAGACTCGAGGTAGTGCCCTCACCCAAATACCGCAAAGCTTGTTCTCATCATTAGGGTTCATTGCCAGAGTGCCTGTGGCGCGAATCTTTGCGCATGTCTAGGTCAGCCATGGGGTGAAACCTGCTGAACTGTTGACTATAGGCAAGGTAAACCCTAAACCCCGTCCCTCTGCTTGGAAAAAGGGGCCAGGGCTCACAGTGACCAGCTCTACACGCAGTCTGCTCTCGGGAAGGAAAACGAGGCCGGCGCCGGAACCCAGAGTAGATGGACCAGCTGCGGAAGGACCAACAGAGGCAATGGATACTCCAGACGCGCAGTTTGTGTGGAGGTCATTACTAACTCTGGAAACTGATGACGAATGTGAAGACGACAATCCCACTAGGTTCCCCGGCTTCATCAACGATCCCACGTGGAGCAACGTCTACGAGACCCTAATGGGCCAGTCCGAAGGGGATTTTCAGACAATGTGCGACGCCCTACCAAGGATCCAACAGGACTTGCAGAGCATCGTGGACCAGGCCCGGGTAGACAGAGGCACATCCAGTGGAGCCTCGGGATCGGCGAGCTCGGCCCAACCGATTGCCATCGATGTGGCGGAGGAGATTGAGGTGGTGGTAGAAGATGACCCCCCGAACGAAGGGGACATCACCGAGCTAATGCAGAGGAGCGGGACGGAGATGACCACCCGGCGGCGAACGAAGGGAGAGACCAAGGGCCGGAAGCAAACAGACCCGGAACAGACCCAGAGAATGAGAGAAGTCAACGAACGACTCTGTGAACTCCGAGACGAACTGGAAGACTGGTGGTGTGCGGGCGAAAGTGTGACCCACCTACTACAGGAGATCGCTGGTGCCATCAACAGGAACAGCATGACGGAGACCCAGATGGCGGAGCACATGGCAATCCTCAGCAGACTCGCTGTTGTGGTACCACACCCCCGACTGGAAGCAGGCCAAACACAAGGCCTACCTCTTTCCGCCGCGCAGTGCCGATGGGTGAAGCAAACTAAGGCGGCAATGCAAGAACTGTGCCTATGCCAAGAGCACCACCCCGAGGAGGACCGCACCAACCTCATGCAGAGGACGCTCACAGGGATGGTGAGTGAAAGACAAAGGAGGAGAGATGTGGCCCAAGCTCTGAATGAAGAGCTCAACGCCAAAGCCGATGAAGAGGCGACGACCCTGGCCATGAAGCTCATGAGGGCCTTGACACCGAGAGCAGCCCAGATAAGAAGCTGGGAGCGTGTCCAAGCAGTGCTTGCGGGCCACACGGGCAAACGAGGAGCTATCTGGTGTGGAGACCGCTTGTCGGCCCAGGAGGAGTGGGTCACACAATGGATGACATGGGTGCTGGAGGAAGACCAACCTCGGCGGTCACCGGGAGAGGCCTCCTCATCCAGTGAGCGACCCACTGTCAGGTGGCCAAGTGAAACGCCAGAAGAACAGCGAGACCGCCTCGAAACAGAACAAGAGCGGCGCGATGCGGAGCTGTTCGAATGGCACCAGAGGGAACGCCGCCGACAAGAAGCAGAGGAAGCCCGACGAGATGATGAAGCAGCTCTCCAGGCACGGCTGGGATGGAGCGACAGGCCAGCGGCCAAACGAGTCCGCATGTCGGTCGAAGTCGCTAGCCGAACAGCTAGCCGCTACTCGGAGATAGAAGTGGCCGACGGGGACAAGATCACCATCACGATTCAGGCGGAGATGGTGAATCACGGAGAGGAGATGCTCCACAAGGGCAAGAAGGTGGACCCCCGCAACGCCAGGGACATAATAAGGGAGGAGGAAGAACGGTTGCGGCACTACGATCCGGATGCCGGACCTGAGATCCCACAGCCCCGCGGGTGGTCCACAAACAGCCCCGACATCAAGCCCCACTACGAGGCATGGAGGGATGGACGGATTGATTTCGAGGGACTGAAAAGAGTACTGGGCCCAGACGTAGCGCTCTTCGTAGTGGAGGCGGCGGAGATCGCAGAAATGCAGACGGACACTATCAACGATGTAGACACCAGCCAGCGAGTTGCGTGGCAAATGGGACTCCCCCTTGAGGCACTTCTGAAACAACGAGGGTGCAGAGAGGACTACGACCGATGGTGCCGCGGAGACTTGCTCCATGGAGACCTGGTGGATAAGTGGGGTGGAGATGTCATGCGTCAGTTCCAGGCATGGTACATGGAAAGCAAAACCAAAAAGGAGCTAGACGCCATGTACGAACCTGAGGCAATGAACAAGGAAGAGCGAGCACCGGACGAAGTGTCCACAGTGCCGGTGGAAACGATGGACATGGCGGGGGAGACGCAAATCTTGGCAGGAGGTGAGGCCACCACGGACGACAACATGATCATAGGGCGCCGCCGAAGGACCCCTGAGGCAATGCTGCGGAGAAGAGTACTGAGCCATAAAGGCCGTAGACGTGTGCCATGAGGTCGCCCGATACAGATTCAGGAGATTGATCACTGTCCCCCTGGGTCATTCTCGACTCCCTGCCCCTAGGCCAAGCATACGAGTCTCCGTGAATCTCTGCGAATCGAGGGCGCAGCCGATGTTTAATTTGATGCACCGTGCAGCCTAGGGCTCGCGATGTCCACTGCCGGGATGCTGTTGCTTTGATCTTGTAAGCTGAGTAGGCGTGGGGGGATGCTTGGGCAGGGACAGTGGAACCTGGCCGTTGAGAATCGTCCGGCCATACATAAGGCAAGTTGTGAGTGCGTGTTGAGTCCTCTCCACGCTGTGCACTTCGCAGGCAACATGGGCAGAGATGGTACTGGCGGTACGTACTATCGTTTGAGTTATAAGGTTGTTATCTGAGAAGGAAAGCTGCCATGATGCTAAGTGAAGCGAACTTAGGCAGAACGACAGGCCCAGTGAAGTGTGATACTGTTGTGTGTATAGCATTAGTTCTAAGGACTAATGGTGCTTGTGATCAGGGCTACTGTCGAGCCTATGCCACAGGGGCCGCGCGGACATGCATGGGGATGGTACGTTCTCTTACTTTGGGTAAGTACATTGGTTTGAAGCAAATGTGGTGTGGTGGAGAATCCCCAATGCTTCGGTCTGTCTCCCCGACTCCCTCAACCGTCACGGTAGTCTCGAGCCTAACAGGTGGAAAAGACACGAGGGTTCAAAAAAATAAAAATAAAGGGTTCCATGCATCTTCCTATTCCCCCTTTCCTTTTTCGACAGACATGTGTTACCCGACCCTCCTTGTCCGTTGCCCCAGCCCGAAGTGCCCCCGGCAGCCAGTGGAACCAAGCTGTCTGTCTCTCCCAACAAGAGGTGGTTTCCGAGCACTGAAAGACTACGAGGGTGAAAAATACTGTGGGCATCACTCATAGCAGCATTCTGACGATGATCATTATACTGTTGTCAATAACACCAAGAAGAGTAACCACCTCATCTTCACAGCCCGTCGCAGGATTCATTTCGCTGGCGCTGTCCTCTGCCGGCTCGGGGTTGGTCCCCACAAAGTACTGGGGACAGGGCCTCTTGCCAGAAACAGCTGGATACTTCAGGATTCTGGTGGAGTCTCGTATCGGGTTTAGGTTATAGCTTGGGTAAATCTCTTCGCGAGGTTAGGTGCCCGGCCTTGGCTGTGGGTTGAAGTCCATGTCAGCTCCCCTTGCAAGGCTCCCGAAATCCTGAGTTCAGTAGGTTCCGTTGCTGGGTGCTGTTGAAGGTGAATGCCGCATTGACTTGGTGTTGAACATGCTTGGCCTGTTTCTAGGTCTAAACGAGCTTGAACGCAAGACCTGCTACTAAGGCTCAAAGTCAGTATAACCCAAAGGACACAAGGACGCAGGCTTGCGCTGCATAAGAGCGGTCTCAGATAAAGGGGTGGATGTGCACCGGATCGGGGAATCATGACTTTCACGCTGGACAAGCTGAGGCGTGGATGAGGCTCGGCACTTGGCAGACAGCATCCTGGGTTGCAAATATGAGAGTATGTTCTCGTCATCCAGCATTGGAGCACGAAGATGGCCGTGAGTGAAAGTGTCAGACTGCTGATGCAAAGTCCTGTGAGAAGGTGTTCCTTTGCTTGCCTGCCTGAAGCCCAAAACATCCCAAAACCCTAGACCTAACTAGCTCGCCTGGTTTGTCCGAGTGTGAGGGCTTTTCAGCCCTAAGGGCTTCCGTCCTTGCGAAGTAGGAGGCGGAAAAAGGCCCTGATAAATGCGCGGAAACCTAAACATTGAAGCCTTCAGTACCGAAGTCGCGAAAGCCTCGGAGCAAAGAGTTGGAGCTCAGGTCCGGACACAGACCGAAGACAAGTGTCGAAAAATAGTGAGCAACACTACCCCCTGAATTATCGTCCCTATATGAATTGCATACCATGCCTGGCACTCGTTGGTATAGTATACCACAAAAACCCTTGGGCCGAAATGAAACATCCGCACAGGCATCACGGTAAACTTCGGTTTCCTGGTTTCTGAAACTTCCATTTGGGTAGTTGTTGTCTGCAAATGTTCACGTGATTCTTCTTCCCCGAAGCTGTCAGCCTCTATCCTCCAGATCGATCCCAGCCATGCGAGCGGGAAACAAGAATCCTCCGAGAGCCAAGGACTGTATCTTTGGGGCTGCTGCCTGGGGGTATGCCTTTGCGGCCTTCAACTGGCCTCGCTGCCACTGGTTGGGTTCATGGCACCCATCAAGGCAGGTCAGAGTGTTTGTGCTGGTTTGGGGAATACAGTAAACGGCAAGAACTTTCTATAGGTGCTACTGCTTATTTGATAACATGATTCAATTCCAATAATCATGAGAATAATGCCGCCAGTGGCTGCTTGCACAGTCCCATGCACTGGAAACCGGGGTTCGGGATTCCTGGCTCAGTGAAGTCTTTTCCTGTATCGCTGGCCGGTAAATATAAACGCACGGATGAGCGCAATTCTTTGCCTTGGACATGCCTCCTGCTGTGCGAGGCCGTTCAGCAGGCCGCGAGGGCACCGGCGACCACTGGCGAAAGTTAGAGTATGTTAGAGTTTTCGGAGTTGTGTTTCTGGGGAGGTCTCCTGTGCGATAACGGCGAAGCTAGAAGGAACGCCCAATCTCAAACCCTATCACGTTGCCTGATTGCCAGCTGGAGGGAACCCGGCAAGCCTTGCCTGGATTTACCGGGACTTAGACTGGACACACACACACACAAACACACACCTCACTAGTAGGATCCTGCTTATAAGGACTCCGAAATAAGGTATCCTAAGTTTCGGAAACTCCCTTATCCCTTCATGCGCAATCTGAGGGTTTCAAGGGAAGGCCGTCGTCTCTTCAGGCTGGGCCTTGGGCCTCTCTCGCAGTAGTGTTGCTTATGAGACCAGACTTGTTGCGGCCTTGAGAAGTAGGAATAGTAATTACACTGCCTTGTAGTCACTATTACTATGTGACTGTGTTGTTGAATCCTCCGAAACCCTCTTCCTGATTGTTCAGCCTCCCCTGTTTTTGCAGTCGGAGACTCACTTGATTCATATTCAAACCCGAGGATTCTCGCCGCAATGCTGCAGATTCTCAACGGCGTCTTGGCAGAGAGCCGTTGGATTCACGCCGGTGCACTGTAAGGGGGTTTGACCGAGCATCCAGCGGGTTTAAGGCAGAGGTGTGTCGGATTTCGGCGTCACTGAAGGGAGATGCTTTTAGCCTGGTGTCTTCGCCACAGTGCCGCGCTGGCATTGAGATACTGTTTCTCCTCACGCCACAATCCTGCGTATTTCCACATCCCACAGTAGTGCCGTGCATGTTTACTCGTGAAGGAAGTCTGGTTCTCGCCAAAGTACCTTGCACGCTGTGGGGTGGTTTTTGGAAGCCTCAAGTCAAGTGTTTGGAATGGTTACTGGGTACGGAGCCCTTGGACTGCCGAGCTCCATTCTTTCAGTATTTGTGGGTTACTCCGGACAAGATGTTGTTGCTGTTGTTGTAGCCGTAGCCGTCAAGGCATTGATGAAGGCAAGCCTATATTCCACTGCTTGGTGAGATCCTACACTGCACTGCCCGAGTTTTCATGGCACTGATGTAGCAGGTGTACCATTGCCAGTGTCATCACCAGAACGATAACCTACGAGTCATGATTTCGGTTGCACGTTGCTTGGCTCTATGCACGCAGAGAATGTGGTGGAAAGGTGCGGTCTTTGCCGGAGAGGGCATTCTCCTGGGCCTCAAGGCTTACAGGCCGGTTTCGCCTAGGGCAATCACTGCAGCTGCAGCTGGGAAGCTAAAAGCCCTTGACAGGGAAGAATGTCAATGAAAGAATAGCTCCTGGCCAAGTAGGCGGCTTAGTGTCATTGGCACGTGCCGGTTCTGTGACATGTGCATTTTCAGAGCTTGTGCATATCTTACCTGCTGCAACTAAGTCGGAGGGCATTGTAAACGAAGACCTGTCTGGCATTGGGAGGGAGATGGAGGGAGGGAGGGAGAGAGTGAGAGAAAAAGAAGAAAGCAAGAAAGAAAGAAAGTAATCAAGCCAGCGAGAAAGGAATCAGGCGACAAGGCACTATGCCGGAGGTGTGTGCAGGGGGAGACAGTGCAGTGCAGGTTAGAGGCGGGCTTGGTGGCATCTCGTCAGTGCTTTGCTACAGCCCGGAACAGCGGAACAGGCCTAACCTCCAAAAAGGCGACGTTGCCTGCACTGAAACATCAGGGTGCGCACCCGCACAGGGTGCCGGGCGGGGGGAGTGGCACGAGAAAGAGAGCGAGAGAGAGAGAAAGAGTATGAGCCAACGTAAAGCTTGGCATGACTAAGCTGCGAGTCCAAGCCTGAAGTTCCACAAGTGAGTCTTGCGAAGCTGGCAGGTGGTTGGCGGCGACTAGTTTCATCGGATGCGCCCTCATGTAGCTTGGTATGAACTTGCATTTTCGATTCCAGAACCTCGAAGATCGCCCCAGCGGCAAAGCCCTGCAGAAGCCAATGGGCTGATTTGCATCCCAGGGTGTCCACTCTCTACATCTTTGGAGAAGATGCCCTCACAGGACCGGCCCGTGCGAATTACTACTATGACTGTGTGACTACGGCCACGACTGCGGCTACGGCGATGACGAGTACAACTCCTACTACTACGACGACTCCTACTCTTCCTGCTGCTGCTACGACACGACTCTCTACTGTAGTACTTCGGTGTATTACGTCTTACGAGACGACGACCACGACAGTTGTCGCTAAGCCACACGAATTGCGCCCAAAGGAACCACAACACTCTCCTTTTGGATTGAACCTCTCAGGCAGAGGTTTAAAATTCCGAACGCTGGACTCACAAGACCCGAACCCGAAACCCTTGAAAAGACCGTTACCAGAGGACTCTGGATTGGTTTGTTCCTCTTCAACATCTCTCGTCTGACCGGGTCCTTGAGTCATCGGTTCCGTTTCGGACCGCTTGCGAGACGGGCCGCGAGCGCCCAGGAGGCGAAAGTCGCTTGAAGGGTTCATCTCGAGAGCTTTCGAAGAGTCCGGTGAACCTGGGTTCGGCTAGGCAGGCTTATGATAGGGTCTAGGTCGTCAAGCTTAGTGTTTCAGGTAAGTTCATGGCAGCAGATGTTGGTTCAGTTTGCTTAACTGTGGACTTGAGGGGATCCCCCAAGCTTCAAGCACATCTCCACCGACGCTTTGCTGGTAGCGACAAAGCATTTGTGCCAGACTTCGCGGGGACGAGCCGGTGGCGAGCATGTCGCTGTTCTGGCTCTCTCCTGCGTTGCGATTGTTTGCAACTGTTGGAATGATTTCAATACCCTTTATCCCATGCTGCTCTCGGGTGCGCAGACCAAGTTTCGAAGCGAGCCCACATGAGGCAGAAAAGTTCCGGAACCGAGAGGTCTGACGGTGTTTTGTGGTTCGTCCTGAACCTCCGAGCTGCTTCGTGGAAACTATTGCGAAACTTTGGTAGCAAAGCCGAAACCGTTGATTCGGCGGCTCTTTGGGCCAACCAGGCCTTGATGCCTGCGTGGTCTCGCAATGTCCAGCACTCAGCACCAACTGGAGGACTGGTACTGCTTTTTAAATTGGATGGACACTGTGTCTTTGTGTGTTGTTTCTCATCGCCATTCCCACCATCATCGTGATCATCATGATGGCCATCGCTGGTATTGAGCATGCCGAGGGTCTCACTCTACCGTCTTTGTACTGCCCAGGCAGGGTACGACTTCATTCTCCCTATCGGTGCCAAGCTCAAGACCTCGCCTGGGTGTGCTGAGTTGTGAGCGAAAGTACAACACTTCAACACCCGCAACAGCCTGAACTTCCTTCAAGAGCCCTGAAACTCTACATCCCAAAAACTCCGAAAGCCACCAGCTTCCAGACCCCTAGGCCTAGGCCCTTTCCCCTAAACCCGAAGCCCAAAACCCCAAGCCGTGCCTGCCTCTTGAGACCGCGAGTCGATTCCAGATCCTCGGAACAAAAACGAAAAAGTGAAATTTAAACCCAGCTTCAAACCCAACCTTAAACCCCAGACCCTAAATCCAAAAACAAAAACCCTCCTCGCCTGGTATTGCCGAGTGTGAGCGTCAAAAAGCCCTACTGTAGGAACCTGATTAAGAAACCCTGGGCCTATGACCCCAAAATAGTAGGATGCATATCTGGAATCCCTAATAAAGGCCCAAGGTTTCTTAATCAGATTCCTACATTAATTAAACTGTAAGCCCGAAGCCGTGGCTGCAGATGCGCAGCTCAGGCTACGACCGGCCGTGGGAGCGACGAGGCCAAGCGAAGGGTTTTGGGGTTTTGGGTTTAGGGTACACTCCAAGTCCGTGCTCAACAAAGGATACTCGCAATAGGCCTGGATGCGAAAAGGGTTTAGGGTACTTGATTCAGTTACTTCGGATTAGGGTTACTGCCACGAGTGCAGCGGCTCTGACCTCCGACATCCAGGCTGGCATATGGGTGGTTGTCAAAATTAGGATCCCTTTTTGGGTCCCTATTATAATACGGCACCCAATATTTAGGGCACCCAAAAAGGGACCCTAATTTTGACAACCACCCATATACAAGTCTGTGCAAAAGGGTACTTGAGGCTTCAGGTTTGAGTCTTTGCGGGACTCTCGTGCTGAGGGCTTCCGGTTTCAATCTGGCGGCGCTGCCTGGATTTAGTTTGGCAGTGCTGTTTCCCAGCTGATCAGCAGAGTCTGGGTTCAAGAAAATGGACCGGCAGTGGGAGCTTAGGAATTCCAGGGCGCTGAAGGGTTCAGGGCCGCTTTGGGGTTGAAAGCTTAGTATTTGTAGGGTTTAAGAAGTTGCGGATCTACGGTTTAGGGTTTGGTGTGAGTCCTATCTAGACGGTATTTATATGTTTTGGATGTGCACGGCTCGCCTTAGGCGGTGTAAGCTTCCACGGTTTAGGGTTCCGTCGGCTTCTTTTGGGTGCTGCAACTTATGTCGAACTACTCCTTCGCCCTCCAACAAATGTCTATACTATGTTTAGTATTAATATATATATATATATATGTGTGTGTGTATATATATATGTTGTACACACGCACACAAACATATCTACAGATATGTATGTCTACATGAGCAGAGTAGCAGGTCTTGTAGTTCTTTGCTTGCTACTGCCAGAAATGGAGACGAGTTGGGGAAGACGCAATAGGTTTGTCCTGAGTGGTCTGAGATATAGCTGCCGTGGTAGCTGTGGATGTAAATGTCCTCGGAGCAGTGGTGGTCATGTTAATGTTCACTGGGTCAATGCGTTTGGTTGTTTTCTTGTTGTTTTCTTTCCTTTAAACCTCGCCTGACCTCGCCGAGTGCGAGTGACACAAAAATGTATAAATCTACACATACAGACAGATGTATGCATATATATATATACACATACATACACACATATGTAGATATATATATATATATATATATATATATATTATACATACACATTAACAAAAATGAAAAGCATGTGTACATGTCAGCGAAAGTCTTATGGAACAACATGGTTGAGTTCATTTGGATTTACAACCCTAAACCCTAAACCCCTAAACCGGCGAGCCAGGACTGCAAGCCGAGGGCCTCGAGGCAGATCCCTACACTCTTCAGGTCGGCCCTCCGAGGGAACAGCACTGGACTAGCAATGGTAAGAGTAAGCAGAACCGAAGGATCGTGTTATGGTAAGAATGGCGATAGTAACGATACCAAGAATCATGACAATGCTAATACTCATCAGAACAGTGCAAAGAGAAGAATAATCATATTAATAGCCAGTTTAACCAGACCATGAATACAAAATGTATTTAGACAAAAGACAGAATCGGCATAATCACAATGTCAGTAGTAGTGGTAGTAGTAGTCGTCGTCGTAGTACTAGTAGTAGCAATGGTAGCAACGCTCTTCGAAAAACTCGCCAGGTTCTAGATCTTCGACGGTAGCATCCGAAGAGAAGTCTGAGAGCAATGACCCCAACACAAGCCCGCTACACTTTGCATTGAGCGTCCTGATGCGGAGAAGATTGTGCCTGGGAGTTGAGCACTGTGGACGTTCCGCGAACCCCTGCCAGACGTACGACACCAGGCTTGGCAACGTGCCCGGATGCCCAAGCGTTGCATTTTGGGCTCCATTTTGTGAACTCCGGGGCTGAAGGTTTGCCAATTTTCTTCGGCACGTGCCTTCGTGGCCCTTTTCAGTTGCGGCTGCAAGCCCAGTTTTTCCGTAAAGATCGTGGGATGCAGGGGCCTGACACCATGTCAGGCCTGAGATTCGCGTGAAATGTGTGTAGCAGCAGAAGGCGAAGCGCGTCAGTCAACAGAAGGGTTCGGGTAAAGGAGTACTGTAAGTATTGGCTGTGCAGGCAGAGAATGGTCTCTAAATTTATAGGCTGGTTAGACATGGAGTCATGGAGGATATATAAACAAACAGGATTATAGATGTAGAGGTATAGGTGTGTATATAATAATATAATACCAACATATATATATATATATGTATACGCGGACAATTATTTTTTTCTGCTTCAGAGAGGGAGGGAGGGAGAGAGAGAGAGAGAGAGGTGCAGGTACAGATACACAGCTAAATTCGTACACACGCGCAGAAGAATCTGCACATGTATACACAAAGCCCAAAGGTCCTTTCGAACGCCTGCATTCCGATTGTCATTCATAGTGTGCAAAACATGTGCACGATTGATTCCAAACCCGCAGCCGGCATACTAGTGCCACGGCCGCACATGAGGTTGCTGCTGGCCACGCATGATGCCTTCTTCGGTGATCGGTATAGCCTGCTAACGCCCAACTACGGTGGTCAGTGCCCCAGCGCATACTGCCTTGCTGATATGACTTGTTCTCCATGGACAGCGTGACGAAACTAAGAGCGTATTTTGCTTCATCGTGTCGTCCTTTTGCTCAGTGAATTTGGTCGCGTGCTTCATTTCTCCTCACGCGACGGGGTGCTTTCCCTCAGCTCCACTGGGAGAATCCAAATCTGTGGCAGCTTCCCATGGCCATGCTTAGGACTTAGAACCCGGCAGGAAATTCCCGGGAGGTTATGTAGCTGGGTACGGAATGTGTATGAGTAGTATATACCCCTATGACTATGGTAACTTAATGTAACTTAATACTTGCTCCTGAAAAAAAAAAACTCAGCTTTGGTGAAAGCCCAAAGCCTTGAGCTGAGCCTTGAAGATACTTCTCGCTGAGGTGGTGCATATCGGAACTTGAGGCCATGACAGAGTGGCGTTTGCATCATCTTGGAGCTGATATTAAGGATCAAGTGGGCTCGGCCAGTGGCCGTAAATTCTGTTCTTCGGTTCCCGACACCCCGCGACAGTCAGTGAACCGTGGAGGAACATCGTGGTTCCGCTTCCCTTCTCGCTGAACTGTCCGAGCCCCGGAGCTGAAAGAAGGGACACTCTCGCCGGAGATGGGCCAGCCAGGTGGTGGCCATCTTAGATGCTTTTGCACTTGTAGGGGTCATGGCCTTGTATCTTGAAGCAAGGGCCTGGAAACCTAGCTTTGAAGCCAACTCGCTGAAGCTTCTTCTTTGACAGTCGAAGAAATTGCAGGCACCTTTTGGCGCTCGGCTGTGGGACAAAGGCGCGATTCTGAGGCGTACAGCATAGGAATTAGTGAGTTTAGTGACTGTTCTGTCTCAAAGCCTCGAGTTCATGACTGCCGTGATTGTCAGGCAATCCTTCACGCGGCGGTTCCGAGTAAGCTTTGCGGGCTCTCAAAACGGTGTGCGGGTCTTAAGGTTTCTTTGCGCAGTCGATCGGTGAGTGATGGCGACTGGTTGATACAGGAAGCTAGTTTTCCAGTTTTCGGGGTACCAACAGTATGGATCGCTACATTTGGAGGTTTATCATCATCATGTTGTGAAAGTCCCCAAATACGAATGGTCATGCGGCGTCGCTGAATGCCATTTGCCGGCTGCCAACCTCGTGACACATTCATTGGGACCGGGTTTGGGGTTGAGTTATGAGTTATGAGTCACACTGGTCTTGCTGCAAGCTGTTCTATTTGCTGCGAACTGTATACCGCATTGATGAGCACCTTGCAGATAGCTCGAGCTTGTTCAATGAGATCATCCATGTGTCTTCTGGCTGTCGATCTTGTCCGCCTGACGATGGTGCTATAGGAGCGCTCGGCCTCACTTGCAGCATAAGGACACGCGTGCGTTGATACACCGCGCTGCTTCAGCAGTGGCAACAAGCCCGGACCCCAGACTGTTCGGCTGGAATGTGCGAGCTAGGGCTTGCGGATCGTGCAAATTCGTAAAACGTAGCGGCCCCACCTAGGAAAGACTCGACAGGAATGATTCCGGAATGATCATAGGTTTCATGCTGTGCTTTTTCCGAACATGACGAGCCGCGAGATCGAGAAGCTAAGGCATGACACCGGAGCAACGGCCGTCACTGGCAGTCCGCTTCGTTGTCTCTGATGAGGACGGGCTTTCACGACTATGTGTTTTCAGCCCCAGCTTGAAGCTTTGATTCGCCTTTAGTACTGGTACAAGTAAGTACTTGGCGAAACTTGATACCCCAGACCCTCAACCGCAGTGCAAGTGTTTTGTCCATAATTAGCTGCACGTGTGTCGTCTATAATTCAAGAATAAATGAACATATAGGTTGGTACATGGCTCTACTTTGTAGGGTTTGGACGCCCTTCTCATATGTTAGTTTTTCAGTTTCTTTGTCTTCCTTGTTGGGTATGGTGCAGTTGTGGTAGAGAAGTAGTGTGCAACGACATGCGAGTTCTTGGCTACATATGGTAGTCAGTCATGAGATCAATATGGGCCCCAGGACAGCCACTCCTCTACCCTTACTCCTACTGTAGCTGGATCTCTTAATTAGTCTTCACTTTCCACCCTGACCCTCAGCTTTGGCTTAGCTTTTATAGTGGAACTCGTGTGACATCCACCAACAGATCACTCACAGAAGCTACCCAACCACCCCGGTTGACATACTCGCTAGGGCCGCTCGGCGTCACCTCACCCCCCTGATTTTGATCTGCCGATCGTAGCCCTCGACATCTCCGACGTCCCTGGGCATTATAACTTATAACCACTGCCGCTGTTTCATCTTCGGAATTTCGATAGGGGGAGTACTATTGTAGTGACGTCGTTGCTTCTGAATTAGGCTATAGTCTTTGCCTTTGCCGATGACTTCGCATTCCCATTTGCTTCGTCTCACTCTACAGACTCCGAATCACATGCCTCGCCTGGATTGTCTGAGTGCGAGCGCCGAAACCCTATTCATAATTCAATGATTACATCATAACTGCTGCATGTGCCTGGCTGCTCCCCAAAATACTCCACTATGTACAGTACATATTGCTGTATGAAATCCTATGTGCATGTGCATGCTGCATGTGCAGAAGCGAGACAGGTCCCACATAGCCGCATGTTTCACCGAGTTCTAAGGTAATAAGAGTATAGGGTCTACAGGGCCCACTCACGTTCATAGTTCCTGGTAGTATCAAAGTCATCGTGAAGATGACGCCAACCGACCACATATTACTTAGGACAGCCCGGTCTTCATTGTCTTCAGTACTGATCTTTGTGTTTAGATCCTTTATCCTGACCACGAACCCTGAAGTGATCTGCAGATGTCTATTCCCAGCGTCCTACGGGTCACGCAATCCGCTGCCCGCACCCGCAGGAGAGGGCGGAGTTGTCTCGTGTCTGGAACTCACTGGGGTGTTTCTCGTAACAAATATGTTACCGTACATTATCATATTCTCGTCTATGGCTTCTGGTTTTTTATCGTTATGATTACTCTTAGTCTCTTGATTTTTGCTCTAAGTCTAAATTGAGTTCTTGTTCTTGTTCGGGTCGGCAGTCGAACCTCTCCTCAAGGATCACATTCTTGACGAATCTGCTCCCACCCTCTTATTCTTATTAGATAGTGCTACACGTTTGTATATATTACTACTATGTATTTCTGTTCAGTCTTCTTTAGTTACTGCTATATTATAGTAGTATGCATCATATACCATATATCTTACCTTCGACATACATATTGTGCTTGCGCCGCCGCATTCTGTGCATGCTTTCCCAGCATTCGCCCTGCCAAGGCCCCATCAACTGTGCTTGGCCGATGGTTCGGAGGCCACCAACCCTAACCACAACGATATGTCCCCCAATGCAAGCTGTTCGTGCCAGATTCGGTGCGCTCCTTCGACGACCTTCTGCTGAACAGCGACTTCTGCTTGGCAAATGTCTTAGCCTAATGTAGGACATGCGGTTGAACTTATTTATACGCTTCGCATCGTCCGCCTCGGCCCGGCTGTACTTGAAGCAGGTGCATTACTTCGCACAGCAACCGTTACGTCACACAGGTGAGGTCTCGAGTGAATGAGGGCATGGTGTTCCAACGTCAGTGTTTGGTTTCATGCCGAGGCTCTGAGCAACGATCCCACGCGAAAGGTAGCACATTCCCTGCATTATCCCATAGATGTTACTATAAAATCGTATCCGTCAAACTGCTCACTGGCCTCGTATACAACCTCCCAAATGTTGGAAGGGGACTCAAGCTTTGCTACAAAGTACAAGGCACTGCCCCAGACTTTTCACGGGCGTTGGCATCAACTTCACGAATGATGCAAGTCTTGCCTCGCTGCAAGCAACAGACGAGGGAAGCCAGGGGCCAAAGCACTGGGAGGGAATAACTGGAGGGGACAAAGAGGTGGGGAAGCAGGGGTTCCCTCTCCGAAACTATGACTGTTTAGGTCGGGGCCGAGGCGAATTTAATGAGAATCTTCAAGAAATAGTTGACGCAGCGGAGCAACCTGTGCGGTGTGCATGGTAGACCATGGCTCGATGCGAGGTGTTGCCCGGAGATGTGTCCGACCTTGCTGCAAGCTCAGAAGTGCGAGTCCGAACCGTAAAATTTATAAAACATATAGATTTTATTAGGTAACAAGTCCATTGCTTCAACAAAAATTCAGATTATAGATAGATGGACGGTGGCCATACCATTGTGTTGGTTTCTAGAAAGCCACGGGCATGCTCACAGTCGCGGCCCCATACGACGATTGCTTTGTTTCTGGCCCATCTTCAAGCTTCGTAGCGGTTGAATGTTGCATGTACGAGAGGCCATGCGGTTCCTACATGCGCTGTCGGCTGGTTGCACACCAGTGGTCGTGCTCGCCACAGTTCCTGGGTTATCAAGCCAGGCGAATCAGCGCCCCACATGTCCTGCCAAAACACTTCATGCTGGATTCTGTGCGAAGAGCTTCTGATTTCAGTCTCTGGAGCCCGAACTGCTTCAAACCGCTTGATCGTATGTTTTGGCTGTCTTGGCTGGACGATCGCTGAGGTTGGAGGTCCGGCCAGCGCGGTCCCGCTGCCTTTTGCGCAGGCAGCGAGCTCATTGCCCTGGGGGCCGTGAGGCATCGACTATGTGAATACAGGGCTTTGCGCTGTGGCCAGAACATGCGACAAAGCCCTCGATTTCCTTGCCTTGCTCAGACGATGCTTTTGCCAGGGGAGTTCTCGCAGCCTCCAACCCCCCCGCTTCTTGGTTCCATGCTCGTGGTGCTTGGTCGATCCGAGTTCGTGGACTACACGCAGTTCGCCAGATTCGCTCGAGTGCGAGATGCCGCAACCCCAGCGCAAAGCCCGTGGCTAGACTAGACCGGACCAATCGAGTGTGGCGATGATGCAGAGAGCTCCTGAACCATCCTGAACCTTACCATGCTCGAGAAAGGTGTGCCTCTGTTTCATCATGTTTCATGTCGCAGGTCAGGCCCAAAGCAGCCTTGTTTGAGGACTATCGGTTCCCGGACCTTCAACCCCAAACCCGAAACGGAGAAGGCCCTTCTTAGCGGAGGAAGTCAACGCCTGCCTCGCCTGGCGTGTCCGGGTTGGAGCTCTGAAACTCAGAAAGAAGAGCCATGCCGCTGCTCACGATGGCCGTCCGGCCTCAAGTGGTCTTCAGCACGGATGCGTCGCCCGAGCTGAAGCGCTTGGGCACCTGGGTCTTGCTTGGAAGCTTTCCCGATATATGCCTACCACAGACTTCTTATGTGCCTTAAGGAAGCGATAACATCCGAAGAAGTGTCCTCACCCCACGAAGCAACGGGGAACTGTCCCCCCCCTCTAGTATCCCTGAGCCCCAACTCTCGGACGTGGCTGCAGTCCCAGGCACAGTGAAGGAGTTGCAGCAGCCTGTGGCTCTCAGCAGGTCGGGACTCGGAAGGGTTCTTGTGAAGGGATGTAAGTTGAAGTTACCGGAACAAAAAACCGTGTCATGTTGCTATGTTCATTTACTGTAGATCCCTATGATGCTAAGTTTTTGAAGAAGAGCCCAGTCTCCGAAAGGCTAAGTTTGCATTGTTCCGGTTGTGGGCGGTCAGTTTAGTGTTTGGGCGCCCTCAAATCAAACCAAGCCCTGTGACCATTAAGACAAAAAGCCTTAACACCTCACAGTCACTATGCCCGGGATTGCAGAGTCATGAGTTGCGAGTGGCACAAGAGTCCCGAACACTGAAACAGACAAACCTGGAATTTTGAAGGCATCAACCAATGGAACAAAGAGCCGAAACCTCCAAACCACAATACCTCAAACCCCAAGGTAATGGCATGCAATGACCTCGTCTGGCTTGTCCGAGTGTGAGCGCCATAACCCTGAACCCGGAACCAGTATCGCTGCAGACCTTGCCAGGCTTGTCCCAGTGTGAGTGTCAGTCAAAAAACCCGTCAACCCTGAACCTAAAAACCCCTCAACCCTAAACCTTAGAATCCTAAACCCTAAACCCCAACCAACCCTCCCTGGATCAGGATCTGCACTTTCGGCCTGGCCTCCTTGGCCCTCACCGCAAGGCCCGCGAAGGACCTTCCCGAGAGCCAGTGTAATAGAGGGGCCTACGGTGTAGAAGAACTAAAAATATTACCAACACCATTTTGGGGGGATTTCTTCTGATATATGTTTGATAAATCATACAGCATGATGTACCCAACACCCTATTCTGATGGTCAAGGCCCTTATCTTATGCGCTACAAAGGAATCCATGGCGTGCTAGTGCCGCATCAATCTCAATGGTGGGCGCAGAATCCGGAAAGCCATGGTGATGATATTTGGGGCCATAGGGCTTGCGCCCAAGATGCTTACTTCGTCATGGGTTGAAGGGTCTAATTGGCATCGGTTTCCTGTCAATCAAGGAGTGACTCTGCTGTCGCTTTTGTCAATGACGTCAACTGTTCTGTTGACAGCAGCTTTTGCCACTGTTACTGTCCTTCTTCCTAGTTTAAGCGGTGGTAGCACTGCTGCTGCTGCTGCTGCTGCTACTGACAATGTTAACTATTTTCTGTAGTTCTCTATAACAATCGATATACTAATAACAGCAATAGTAATTATGATGAGAATGCTGCTCCTGCTTCTACTACGAGCACGACTAAGCGAAGCGGGATCCACGAGCTCAGCTCTTGGTCGTGCCACGACTCTAGCGGCCTTGAGCAATTTGAAAGCCATGCGCACAAAAACTGGCGGAAGCACGAGTTCCAGGAAAAATGGATGGAGACGGCACCATACGAAGGCCTGCACAGGAGTTTGGACCATGGCTTTGATCGCACCTGTGCACCTCCAACTGGAGGCGCGGAACCGCCGCACTGCGCGCGTTGCCCGCCAATGCGCCTCGCGGTATCGCAAAGCCACTCCCTGTGCTGTAGATGAACTCGAGATACCGCGATGCTTTAGCAATGTTGAGTAGGCCGCGATGGAAAACCCCAAAGCGGTAGCGTTGACAGAAGCACGAGCCTGCGCTGCGACAAACTAGTGCAACTAGGAGGTGATTCCTGAGTCGTTGTGGAGGGTCAGCTGGTTTTTTTTTCATCCTGTCCTTCGATTAATGCAATGGAAGGACTTCGGGGGCCCTTTACATGCATAGTCGAATCCAGCACACTTCTCAAGGGAGTTCCTGCATCGTGGGATATGCTGGGCTTCGAGACTTCTACCGAGACTTTGGGGTTTCGAGGAGCTTCCGGTGCGCAGGGAGCACATCGAGCTGCCCAACCAAGCTCTGTCCCTCGGCAGCTTCGAGCCAATGCTGCGGAGCTTTAAGTCTGAGGGCTTTATGGCTCTGCTCTGTAGGTCTCTAGGGGTATGCGCAGCACGGATCCAGGCTTGGTGTGGATTGGATCGGCGACAACAGCGAACCGGAAGCAATCCTGCTCGCAGTGCTGCTTTGGGAAGGTTTTTTAATTGTGGTTGCTACTACAGCAAGAAAGATTCGATAGATACACACAGATATATATATATATATACATGATTTATTTATTTATTTATTTGTTTATTTATTTATTTATTTATTTAATTATCGTACTATATTATGTACAGGTGTATTATGCGTTGTATAGCCAGGTGTCTGACTGTTTCGTGTTTCTGCTGCCGTTGAAGCAGTTCCCAGGCTTGTTTTTCCCGGCATTGGGACCAACTCTCGAAGAGGCTGCTGGGTTCTTCTCATCACTTATTTTTCTCTTCTTGCTTTTGCATTTTGGGTGAATTCAAAGGTGTGTTGTTACCAAGGTTGTTCGTTCTTTAAGCTTCGAATTGCTGAGCCCATCAATACGTCAATTAGGAGGGGTAGGAAGTTGGTGATTATGCAGCCCCACGCAGCGGGACCATCAATCTGGATGCAGCGACAGAGAGGGAGGGAGAGAGAGAGAGAGAGAGAGAGAGAGAGAGAGAGAGAGAGAGAGAGAGAGGGAGGGAGGAGCAGACCACTAACCTAGTCGGAATGGTACAGTAGGGAACCAAAGGCCGCAGAGGGGACCCAAGAACCGAGCTGGAGAATCATGTTACTGCACTGCTTGTCCTGAAAATGCGTGGGATCCCCGCAGCTCAAAGCTAGGCCACAAAAATAAGGGAGCAGCCTAGAAAACAACTCACTTCGGAGCGATGCACACGAGCTGGACAAGGCTGGGACTTGTGGCTTAGGCATGCTGAACGAAGCGAACCCCCAAAGAGTCCAGCTCGTGACAACGCCCGAAAAGTCTGACAACAGACCGAACTTGGACAACCAGCGTAGTGCTGTGCGCAGGGGCCGGGGGGACCTTCCCCAACGCTCCACACGCTGAGCAAGCAAGCAAGCAAGCAAGAGGACTGCTCCTGCCTCAAACCCCGAGCAAAGCAAAGCAAGTAGCGAGAGACGTTGCGCAGTTATTTCACGTGACTGCGACTCTCTCTATCTCCCGCCAACGTCTTCTATATAGTTGTGTGTGCACAGCTGTCCAGCAGTCCGATCGTGTTTGTGCGGTTCGAGTTGGGCTGTGTGTCGACAGCTTGTGCAGCCAGTTGACTTCGTTTTCCCACCCGCCCGCCCTGAAAGGAGGGTGGAGTGGGACTGCTGTCCCTGGAGCCTGGAGGCTTCTGCATAGGCATTCGGATGCACATCGTCCCATCGTTCCAAAAGGCCGCTTGTGTTGAGTGAGTGCGAGATTGTAGAGAGAGAGAGAGAGAGAGAGAGAGAGAGAGAGAGAGAGAGAGACAGAGAGACAGCATCCAGTTCGCACACGGGCAAGGTGTATTCCAGTTGCTGAACGAAGCCGCGCTTAAATATAAGCACGCGGTCAGTGGGCTTTCGCTTGCAACATAATCGTCCCGCAACAGTCGGGGGCGCAGACGCGCGCGGTGTAGGGGGTAAAACCCCCACGCCATAGCCCTGGCGAAAGAAAGACGGAGAGACAGAGAGCCAGAGACACAAAGCAAAAGCAGACAGAGAGAGAGAGAGAGAGAGAGAGAGAATCAGAGAGCAGAGAGAGAGAGAGAGAGAGAATTGAGCCCACCTTCCAAAATGAGGGATGGGGTAGCGCCCTGGGCGCCGGCTGGGAAGACTGGTCCCAGTCCAGACGCCGAGCAAAGCCGAGAGAGAGAGAGAGAGAGATATATATATATATATATATACATATATATATATACACAAATATAAGTATAAGCAAACATAAATATATGGTCTCCCCCCCAAGATCTACACCCGCCTCTTCCACACGATTCCACAGGTTGTTTCCCAACACTGGTCCACTACTCACATATGCCGAAAACACTGTAGATATCGATACAATCGTCCTTCCCAACCATTCACTTGGGCTCGGCGCTCCTTGAAACCCTTAGAGGCACGGTTGTGCTTGATCAGCTGATCCGTGCAAGAACTTGCAAACCCGCCTGACACCGAGCGGACCCTCAACAGAGAGCCTGCTCGCCCCTAAGCCCTCGGAAAGATATGTACATAACTATCCACTATTCCCTAGGGCTCCTTAATCACCTAAACTTCCACCCCACCCAAAAACCCTATTCAACGTATTAACACCCCGTTAGGCTTTGCCGGCATGATCGCCCACCACATGGCCAAGACTTTCAGCAACTTGAAGGTTGGAGTTGGCGTAATGCAAGGTGGGGGAGCGGGTTGAGGCTCGAATGTTTAGTCACAGTCCTGTCAGGGTCAGGTTTGGTGTTTGGTAAAAGGGGAGTTCGAGTTGCCTCAAAGATTGGGAATGACGGGGAATGGTTCCGACTAGAACCCCTTCAGGTCATGATGACCTGCCTCTCCAGTCGACATGCCTACCTGCCACTGCCTATGTGGGAATGGGAGACATCGGCCACATCCTTGAGCATGTTAGCAAGAAATCGACTGCGCCACTGGTGGTGGTCGGCTGCTCCATCGGTGCTGCCCACTTCACGCGCTGGGCGGGGACGAATCCCGAGAAGCTGCAAGAGTGCCGCGTGCAAGGTGCATGAGCTTTCGTCCCCCTCCCCGTTGTAAAAGAGGTCTGAGACCGCCCCGGCAGCCGAATCATTACTCTTGAAGCTCTCCCTCCTCAAGAGGTGCAGTCCTAGTCTGCCACGGGCATTCATCCCGACCGGCCGCAACAGCCGTGGATGCCTCTGGGGCAGCACCTTTCATCCTGGCCGCATATCGCGACATCGTGCGGCGATGTTCTGATCTGGAGGATCGGGGAGTGCGGGAGGGGGGCCGACAAAGGACATGCTTGGCACCATGCTTAAGGGGGTGGTTCCGGGGGCATAGCACGGTAGTTCGGCTGCTTCAAGATTCTGGCTGCTAGTCGCACCGTGGTTGTATGAATGTACTGGCATGCACTTGTGTGGTGACTGGCACCACTACATGAATCCTAACTGCGTCAGGTATTGGCCACGAGCTTCCCTGGCTTCGAACCTGAGAAGCTTCAGCGGGCACGCAGCCTGCGTGAGTGGGATGAGGCGTTGCTTCCCGTGCCTTGCATCGATCTTTTAGCTTCGAAGTTTAAGATGTTCGTTTTGTTTCTTAGTGCTAGACAGCACAGATGGTCCACATCATCGTCATCGACGCGTTTTGCCTTGGTACCCGTACCCGGCATCGCATGATTTCATGACCCCGCCATGACCTTCATCATGCTTACCAGCATGGCCGGCCATGGCCAACTCTCCTCTCCATCCCTGCTCGTCACAGTCACTGATCACCAGCAGCAATACCGAGAGCAAAAGCATGATTACTTATATCATGGTTATCGGCCTGATCGCCAATGCCAACATCGCTATCGCCGTTGCCATGACCCTTCATCCACTTTCTTCGTCACCAGCAACAGCAGCAGCGGCACCAAGGGGTACTACTCCTGAAGCAGCTGCTGTTGCTGCCGCCACCGCCACCACCACCACCACCACCACCACCACCACCACCACCACCACCACCACCACCACCACCACCACCACCACCACCACCGGTACGATGACGAGGGCGAATCCGCGAATAGGACGACGAATAGAGCATTGCACTATCATGCCAGAACTTAGGTCTACGGCTTCACCGAGCATGAGGACGTCATGGACGCAGTGGACACCACCCCTTCCATGATGGAGCGGCTTCCCATTCCGGTTATATTTCTCGGAGCAGGGAATGACCCCATCACCCCGTCCACCCGCCTCCTGGATGGGCAGGTGCAAAATCTCGTGAAGAACTTGGGCTAAGCTTTGGAAGAGCTTTTGCTTTATCAGAAATGCCTGAGACTGTTGCAGACTCGTGCTGCGACTTCAGCTGCACAGCCCCAGGAACAGTGCCGTCATTCACCTGAGCCACGGCTCGCACATGGCTTGGTGGGAGGGGCCTCCATGGGCACTGCATCAGTCATGGGCCTGTCGCTTGATGGCAGAGGCCGTCGGCAACCTCACGGGCCTTGCGAGCCTTGTCTTGCAATCCCTGGTGGGTCACAGTCCCATAGTATATTATAGTATATTACAGTCTATTATGGTATATTATAGTCTATTATAGTATATTATAGTCTATTATAGTATATTGTAGTCCCCCGAGCAAAATCCGGTTGCGAGCAAGTCTAGTAGTTCTGCGGCCTGATCAAACGATGGTATGACTTCCAGAGCTTCTCTCCGCTGCTAGCAGCTCGATTCGTTGGCGAAAGAACTGAAGGACCATCGTAGTCGTGTTTGGTGACACAAACAAATTCCAACATGGTCGCAGCATTTGCACTGCTAACGCAGAATGGAGAAGGGCCCAAACACCGGCACCGGTACCAGCACGGCAAAGATACAGCAGTCCCGTCCCGGCTCCGAACGGTGAATTGAAGCACAACTGGGAATTTCCGAACATTCGGGGCACCGGATCCTAATATTTAGGGTGCTATATTAGGGTCCCCTATTTTCGGAAACTCCCAACCCTTGTCTCCTTGGAGCACGCATCCCAAGCCATCTAACTCATGCCTAAGAATGCCAGAGCTGAAGGCCCTTGGCTTCCAAAATCCGCCGTTACACTTACAGTAGCTCCTACAAAAGCCCTTATGAACTGATAAGTACCCTAAAATGGGTTATGGTACTTCTAAGTCATTTAAATAAGTACTTACCGTAAACCCTAGATAATGCCCTTCTAAAGTCACAAGGGTGCCACCAGCTCAACCGGCTCCACCGGGCTGCTGCTCTTGACTTTCTTGGAGGTTCCGAGCCCAGATCCACAAACAAACGGTTTAGGGTTTAGGGCCCTTAAGTTGCGGCCGTTGAGGGTTCAGGCTGGGGAAGTGTCAGAAGTTCAAGAGCTGTGGGGATTGGTACTGCCGATCTGGTGTCTGGCTTTGCCTTCGGTGGCGGTGTGCTGGTCATTGGCGCGACTGCCTGTGCGGACAACTCGGGCACGCACATTACGCCGGGGCTTGGAATTCTGGAATTTGCAATGATGTACAGCAAATCAGCACCGGTAAATCAGCACCGGGTTGGCCTTCCAGGAATGCCAGCACATCGAACCAATTCTGCGGAATGAATCACAATGAGACACACGGCAGATCCGAGCACTGTCTTGTGAAAGCGCGCCAAATGCCCGACTCTGATGGTTGATTTCCTGCTTGTGCTGAAGATGTTATTCTCATCCCTGTGGTTTGCCGTTCTCCTGGTGCTGGTGAGCTACTGTAATCTGCAAACTATGCTGCCGCTGCTCAGGATGAAGAGTTTGCAGGTGGTGGTGGTGGTTGGTGGTGGTGGCGGCGCCGGTGGTGGCCATGCCGCGCCGGTTAGTCTTCTTGTTGCTGTTGCTCCTGTCGCTTTTGCCATTGCTGCTATTCCTGTTGCTGTTTCTTCTGTCCATTGATCTATTGCGGCTGTCATATACTAACAGGAGCACTGTAAATAATTACCAGCTTGGTTTTATCATCATAGTCATCATTAGTCCCGCCATTGTAATCCTTGGCAGTACTACTACCATTGCGAATGTCATTAGCGCATCTACTGTCACTCTGACTTTCGACTATGTTGTCCGTACGAGACTAGCAGTTTCATTGTTTCTCGCATGTGCTGTTTGCGATAAAGCGAATCGTGATTCGTGCTCTTCCTCTTATCGCTGTACGAGCTATTGCTACTGTCTGCAGCGGTGCTGTTTACTGCCAGCGATGGTCTCGCACACAGACTTGCTGCAACTATGGATGAGGGTTGGGATCGAGGGGCCATGAGCCTGAGCAATCAGTGATGACGCTTCCTGGGTCTGACGGTTTTTGGCTATATAAGTTCAGGATGATTAGGATGCGTCGCGTTCGTTCGATAAATGAGAGACGTGAGAGGCCGAACCCAAGAAAGCTCTCAGTGGAGAATATCTCTCCCGAAACGCCACTCCTACCTGTAGTTCAGAAGCCCTGCTTGTTTCTACCTTCCGCAAGCTAGGGATGTGTAACCCTGAGACTCCATGTAATTACCCATACAAGCATATACTTAGGCCTCAACGGGGCTCCTATACAGGTGTTTCAAGGCGGTACATGGGGGCTTTGGCTATAACCGGATTAGGGGTGCCGACCTCCGGCGAGGCTTCGGTCAACACTGCCCCGAGGTTCCTCCTTGAGGCAGCCGCTTCTTCTTGAAGCCTCGTGTCGCCACGCAAAGGCTTGCCTGAGTATGTTTTGACCTCAAAGCTCGGCTTCAGCCCTTGATATTCTGTGCTCTCTCAGAGACAAGGAGTTTTTAGGTAGGATGACAAAGACTCATCCGCTGAAATGTTTCTCGAAGTCGGGGTCTCTTAAGCTGGACCTGGCTTGCTGACACGAAGGCTACACAGTCACTCCTGCTTGCCGTTGGCAATAAATCAAAATACATTCCTCTGCCCAAAGCAAGGAAGGGGGTTAAGGGTTTAGGATTTAGGCTGATTTAGGGTTTAGGGTTCTGAGACGAGACCTTGATTTTGAGAGCTTGACCTCCCTTTTCCAGGTGTGAACAAATACTGTCGCATGCCGAAGCAGTGGCACGACACCGACACGTAGCAACCAGCAATGCGCGTGGGTGCAATTCGCAGCCGGGGTTGCCCTAAATTGGGGCCGCTTGATTGCAGCTTCGTGTACTGAAGAAAAAATCTGCTGTGCCGACAAGGGCAGGGCAGAAGGCAGAAGGATGGTTCCGGAGCCAGGAGGAAGGGAGAGGTAAGAGCGTGCTACTAGGACACAACAAAGCATGGGCTGATGACGTCATTTGCAATTTCATCAATTCGGATGCTCCCTTTGGATGCTGAGATCCTGCTTAGGTAGGCCTTTGCATATCGATCCGAGAGATGGTGTCTAGCGGACACTGTGCCTCAAAGAAGTACGTAAAAAAGGGGTCCAAATAATTGTCAATACTTTTTTTTTTTTTTTTTTTTTTTTTTTTGGGGGGGGGGTTGCTTATTATGAATTATAACTACACACTAGTATACTGGGCCCCAAAGTTTCAAAGCCCTATTCTGATTGTTAAGGCCCCTGTATCCATCCACCTACCTATGTATCGGTCTATCTACTTTATCTATCTATCTGTCTATCTTTATACATTGGGTACTGCCCCCACTCAGTAACAGTTGGATAATACTCATACTATGGATATAGTAGGACCGTAATCGTAGCCCGATTATAGACTGTTACTGTATGGGGGCTGTACCCAATTGACACATACAGTAGAAGCCAGAAAGTTGGAATATCATTATCGTAACCCCTTTAAGGTAAATTATAGGGGATCCTACCATTAATCCATATTCCAACTTTCTGGAGTTCCCTGTACATGCCTAGCTTCAGAGCTCCGAGACGCCCACTCTCAGGTGAAGGAGGCCGAGCACCTTCTGCAGTCCTTGTTGCAGGAGGGCATGACATGTGTGGGGCGGGGGGGAGGGGGAGGGGGGGATTGGTAGGTTGTCTTTGAGGCTTCGTATCTTCGGAGCTGCTCTTCTTGTGAAGTTTAAGGTGTAGTGAGGGTCGGGTTGAGGGGCCAGGGAGTCGCTCAGGATAGTCAGAAGCTGCATGAAGCCTTTTTTCGCGAGTGCCACTTTGCACGAAGCCCCGGCAATTTCGATTTGTAATGCGGATGGACCGTAGACCCTACAAGTTTCACACCGTGATCCCAAGAAGCCTTAAAACCCTACACCCGCAAAAGGACAAAAACAACACCTTGACCCTACTAAACCCCAGGCGGTTCGTTCTTCTTGCTTTACACGAGCCCGAAAACAGTCTCTGCTGAGGGCCTCTGCGAAGTAGGCGGTTGCACGGTGTATCTTTATGGCTTGACTGATGCCTATAGTAGAAGCACGTGCTGGTCTGCACCTGAGAGCAGACGTCCTTGTAGCAAGCCCCACTCTGACCTCTCGCTTGAATCCGTGCCTGCTTTGCGAGTGTGCGTGTCGAATGCGGATCACACAAGGCCTCGAGCCCGTGCCCTTCAAACTCCCAGGAGAGACCGAAGAAGATCATGTCTGCAGATGAATTGGAGAAGATGCTGCAGACTTAGCAAACCAGGAAGATGGGATATGGATAGAAGCCTGAATAAGTAGGAATTCGGGGTTTCTGGGTATGTTATCGTAGAGGTATTAAATGAGGCACTGTAAGGGCACGGACTAGTCAGACACCCGCATTAAGCTCAGAGCTGTTTTGCGTCTAATAGTCAAGAAGATTCGTAGTTTTTGGGGTGGGGTGCGGGGAGTGTCTTTCTTCATGGTTTGAGCCTGAGGATAGACAGCTGTATACTTTCTGTATAAGAACGTTCTTCTGGTACCGTTTCATTAGTCATAGTCTGGCTAGTCCCCAAGCCCAGTTGCAAAAAGTGGTCGTAGTATTACTTGTAGTATCATAACATTGTTCTTAGACTTCTTGTATTCTCTGACATTCTGACGACATCAGAGGCTCACGGCCATCGCAGGACTCTACACGAGGCAAACAGCTCCCGTTCGGTTTTTGGGAGGGCAAAGCAAGAGCAAGGATTCGGAAGAAGGACGTGCGGATTGAAGTCTGAGGTGTTGTTGGGTTCGGAAGGGAGGAGGCTTTGACGCTGGTTGCGGAGTAACAATACCCCTTCTTTGGCATTCTTTGGCACATCCGATCAGGCTTATCCCTAAGCCCGCTTAACTTCATGCTGCAGCTTCGAGACCCGCGCCATCTCGTGCGGTTGTCCTCACGCCTCGTAGCCGGGCGCATGCTCTGTAGACGTAGCACTTCTGGACGGCTCCGTTACATTGGAGAGGGCTTGTGCAGCCGTGAGAAAGATTTTTAGATTTGCCCCTGAAGCTACGGAATCGTATGAGGCCGTTGATTGTGTGCGGTGTGGAATTCCGGTTTGCTGACTCTTCTTTCTAAGAGCTGGAATCTCCAAGGAAGAACTGTCTGACTTCATGAGAATGTGTGACCTTATAATAGCAGGGAATTTGTCCACTTGATCGGCTGCTGCATTGCAAATAAGCTGAAGCTCAAGTTGTGAGCACTGCGATGATCAGACTCAGTTGGTGTTCGTCACCTGCTGGCATCACGTAGAAGTGGAATCGAAGACTCTGAGAAACTCAGTACATTACTTGACCACATAATTGCGCTAAGTTGTACTATGATCTAAGCATATTGATATTCAGTTACTTAGTATGCTATTATTCAATAATGCAATCATAACGAGAGCACCGTACTAATATCTTGGTATATCGCGACTTCGTACATATGCAGAACCGATACTGTACAACAACAACAACAACAACAACAACAACAACAACAACAACAACAACAACAACAACAACAACAACCACAACAACAACAACAACAACAACAGCAACAGCAACAGCAACAGCAACAGCAACAGCAACAGCAACAGCAACAACAACAGCAACAGCAACAGCAACAGCAACAACAACACCAACACCAACACCAACACCAACAACACCAACAACAACAACAACAACAACAACAACAACAACAACAACAACAACAACAACAACGACAACGACAACGACAACGACAACGACAACGACACCGACAACACCAACAACAACAGTCCCAAGACTATCTAGTACGTCTAATAGTCTTATAGTAGTCTTACTTCGAGATCTCTGCAAATGTGATGGCATGAGAAGACGAAGTCTGCCTAAAGTATAGCATCTTCTTCTTAAGCTTGGCTATGATGGACTAGGGTTCAAAACAAGCGGTCAGGGCCTGGGTTTGTAAAGTTTTGAAGACATGAGAGTTCTCATGTTGGAGTGGGTGTGGCAGAAGCTTTTCGCATCTCATTGCCAGTTAGATACTTTCCCACCGTCTCAGCAAACCGCGGAGGACAAGCTGAAACAAAAAAAACAAGAATCATACGGTGAAGTGTCTTAAGTAAGTGGAGAGCGGCCGGACCGCCAATGCCGTGCCACATATAGTGTTTGAAAGTTGTGTTTATAAAACTTGCCGCATGCTTACAAACCGCACGTCCACCGTCGTGTAAATCCCGACGGCCACGGAAGGAGCCCAAAATACCCGGTTAGATGTTCAAGCATCTTCTTATTTGGAGGTCGTCACCGTGTGTGATAACAATGCTTTGCTTATGGTATTCTTAGTTCCAAGGATCCCTGCCTAGCCCACGGGGGCCTGAAACCTGAGCTCCACCGCTCTCAGACCCCACCCAGAGGCCCCGTAGTTGTTTCTTTTGGGGGTTCATAAAGAAAGAGAATCCCAAAAAACAACTAGTATGGGGCCTCTGGGTAACTCCGAAGTTGGAGGCATGAAAACTGCGGCTTCGAGTCTGGTGAGCCTTTTCGCGCACTTTTGGCCAAGTCCTTGGAGGCAGCTCGGTTTAGGGTTTAGGGAGCTCAGATCCTAGATTTTCAGAGGGGTTTGGCAACCTTCGCGTCATGTTGAAACCGCTCCAGTTTTTGATCCTGAACACTCGTGACCCTTAGTGATAGTGACTGCTGAGGTTAGAGTCGGTCGGTGCGCTATTGTTCTATAGTTCAGTTCCTTCGAATGAGCTGTCGCGCCTGATTCCTGATCCCAGCACGTTCAGGCGCGAGCTGACATCTGGCAACATCTTCGCTGGTACAACTAATATAGGGGCCTTAATAATAGCCAATATTGTTTTGGGGGCTCCTTCTTATAATTGCAGTATAATGGGTTCCAAAACCCTACTCTAATTATTAAGGCCCCTATACTAGCTGCTCGGCCGCGGAGGCGCAGCTCCGCTCTCGTCCAGGAACTCTAATCAGCTTCCAAAGGGGTTTAGGGGTTTAGGGTTGTGGGTCGTAGACTGGCTGGACTTGAGTCCAGTGGCAAAAAGGGGTTTAGGGTTTAGGGCACAGCGTTTGAAGTGGCGGTAGTCGCACCAGGAGCAAACGCAGCGTTGTTCTAGGAGCAGGAGCAGTACCATCACCAAGGCGGAGGAGTAGGACGAGCAGAAGCAGCTGGCGGACAGCAGTCGTCGTCGTAGGAGTCGGCATAGGCAAAGGCGTAGGGGCAGGATCAGGGATTGTTAGTAGTAGAGTAGTATAGAGTAGCAGTAGCAGTTGTAGTAGTAGTTGTAGTTGTAGTAGTAGCAGGAGTAGTAGCAGTAGTAGTAGTAGTAGCAGTAGTGCTAGTAGTAGTAGTAGTAGTAGTAGTAGTAGTAGTAGTAGTAGTAGTAGTAGTAGTAGTAGTAGTAGTAGTAGTAGTAGTAGTAGTAGTAGTAGTAGTAGTAGAAAGCAGTAGCAGTAGCAGAAGGTAGCAGTAGCAGTAGCAGCAGCAGCAGCAGCAGTAGCAGTTAGTAGTAGTAGTAGTAGTAGTAGTAGTAGTAGTAGTAGTAGTAGTAGTAGTAGTAGTAGTAGCAGTAGTAGTAGTAGTAGCAGCAGCCGGAGTAGTAGTAGGAGGAGTAGGAGTACTGGCATCACATTTTTCGAGTCTTTAGGTCGGCGGGCTCCTAAACGTTTCTGAGCCGAAAAGCAATCCGCAGTCCGCGAAACAGTTTCACTCTCGAAAGGACAAACTAAACTAAACGATGAATCCCAGCATCCCGCCTTTTCGATACAACTTCCGACAACAACGGAACTATGAAGGGACGTATAGTTACAGGTTTCATACAATGAAACGAGACTGAGCTTGAGACTTACCATCCCCCTCGGGGTCCATGTGCCCATATTTCGGTCTTGAAGGCTTTCCTTCATAGGCACTGTGGCCGAATGTATATACTGAAAGGGTACGTGGACCCTCAGGCTGAAAGTGCAGGATTGATGTTGGAAACCTGAAACCCTTCCACGGTTCGAAATCCTTATCGTAAAGAACCAGTAGATTCCGATATCTCTAAGACAAAGCATCAGGAAGCGGGTAATTTCATCTTGAAGAAACAGCCTATGACCTGCAAACCTACATTCCAATAGTATGCTATTATTGCAAACCGGGTTCAAGCATCTGACATTGTGACATTCCAGCATATACAATATCGCCATGCACGATCCATGGATACTTCTATGACATGCAGAGGAGCCGAGTCCTCAAAGCCTAAGTCCTGCATCCCTGACAAGAAAACCGATAAAGCAGACCTTGCCAGGCTTTGTCCGAGTGTGAGTGTCAAACAACCGATAAAGATGCAGCAGCACAAGCCTCAAAGGGGTTCGCAAGCCCGACCAAACACCCTACTTCGGAACACCCTCTTTTGATAATGATTCCAGCGAAGGTCAGACAGGTTGAAAATTGTCTGGTCTATTACTTACGGGTTCTGACCTCTTTCCTTCCAGGGTTCGATGCGGGGACGACCATATTCCTCTCGCAGATCTATCACTTCATGTCCGAAAACCAACCAAAAGCTAACGTGCTGGAAGTCGGCAAAAGACTGTGATTCAAGCTGATTAAAGACATGTTGGAGGTTTACACGCTGCAAGTCTCCGGTGGGCTGCTGCTCCTGTAGAACTACATAGGTGCAAATATGATATAGGTGCCGCCACCACCGAGCTCAAAAGCGCCAGACGGAAACAGAAGATCCGCAGAAATTCGGAGTCCATCTCGCATGTTTGCCCCATCCTGTAACCTTGAAAGCTGACAGATGACACCACCTCGGCTTTAATTGGGATGGTCGACTTTAATTGGGATTGTGTGGCCTCGGATTAGACGTTCAGGAGCGTTGATGAAAGCCACGTTTGTCTCTCTTCATTGCAAGCTGCGCCTACTCTGAACAGGAATGGAAGCATGTGTAGAGGCATAGCGTGGGTCTGCAATCGGAGCGCATGTTGGACAACATAGGCGCGTCGTTATTGCTCATATCTTATCCATGCAACTGTGCATGCTCTGCTTTCCTTGCAGTGATTTGCAGCCAGCGGGTTGGTCCGCCGTCTGTGACGGTCCGGGTTTTTGAACGAGCCGGGTCATCTGCCGATCCGTGCATCACAAGTGTGAGGGCTTGACGGTGATAAAGACAGGCAGGCCGACAGCGTCACAGCATCAGCTGATGGCATTCAACATAGCCTGGCAAGGTTACATGAGAGAAGTTCTGAATGCTTTCACAAAGATAGATGTGTCTCGAAGCTGTCGGTAGAGCGCATGTGACTTTGGCAGGTCTTGCTGCCAATCCCAATGAGGTGTCCTTCAGGCGGCTGGCGGCGGCCCTCGTACCGGCGGCGTGCATTGCGAAAACGAGAACCGCCTAGTTCCGACTGTAGTTTCAGACAAGTCGCGCATGGATTGCTGTCAGGTTTTTGCAGGCATTGATAAATTCGCCGGTTACGCAGCAGCCTTTCGTGCATCGGGGTCCGAAACGGGCTGCTTGCGACACTTGCTGCAACGGGCAAGTGAATCTAGCTGCGAAAAATTCTAAACCGTTGTGAGTCCGGTAAGCGTCCGGTCTTTGGAGACTCGGAGAGGAAGGGTATCCTCTATCCCTCTATTCCCCCGCAGCCCTTGGCTTCGTGCCAATTAAAATTATTGAAGCCGGTAGTGATGAAGAGGAAGAACACGAAGAGAGTTGAGGATGCTTGAGACACTTCCTAACTGCACGGAACCTGACATCCGACATGTCATTCTAGGGCCACGGCAATCCTCGCAAGCGTTTCATGCGCGATTCATAATGCACATGTAACGGATCTGCAGAAGTTCTTTATTGAGGAAGGCACAAGAAGAAAATGTTAGGCCCATCTTCAGGTAGCAGTAGTACGAAATCCCGAGCATCGACGACTTCAAACCTGGCTTCAGGTTCTGGGGTGTGTGGGGTGGGTTGTCTTAGTTCGTTGGCTAGGACTGAGGCCCGTGGAAGTAGGGTGTAGCAAGTCATCCGTGCTGAGGGTCCGGTGGCATGTGTTCCGTTTGCTTCAGCTCTAGCAGCTACTCGACGCTGATGCCCATTCCGGGAAAAGTGGGTCCAGAAGCTTCAGAGCACTCTTGGTCTATCTGAGTCTGGTAGTTAGAGGCCCTGTGAGGAAGATCTAGTGGCGACTCACAACGTGCGTACAGCAGCAAGGGGTTCTGCATGTCCGTGATTCGTGCTGGCATGTGCTGGCTTCCGACGCCATGAATGCAGCATCATCCTTTGACCGGGCGAAGCAAGAAGGAGATGCGGCCATGCAGAGACAAGCCTTCAAAGAAGCGGAGCAATGCTACGCCCAGGCCCTGATGTGTAGATCCGATGCTGCTGTTTTTTGCAACCGTGCCTTCGCCCGACTGCGCCTGGAGCGCTGGCAAGCAGCAGAGGAAGATTCGACTGCGGCGCTTCAGTTTGATTTGGAGGAGAAGTTGAGGATCAAGGCTCTATTCCGACGCGGCCTCGCTCGGGAGGCGTTAGGCCACCTGCAAGCTGCCAGCGACGACCTGAATGCAGCGCTTAAAGCCGCGCCTGCAAATGCTTCCATCTCGGAGTCTGCCCAGCGCATCTACAGCAAGCTGCCGCGGCTGGCTCACAAGTGGGTGCCGGGGCAGCCCTTTCATAGCTCTGCGGTGGAAGTCCTGGCAAGTGCGATTCCGGGCAGCGTCGTGGGCTATTTGTGGACGCAAAGCCATCCATGCATACGTTTCCCGAACCACATGGCCGTCCAAGCCCACGAGCGCACCCATGCGGCAGTCAGGGAGGGTTTATTGTGGAGGCGATACGGACTACTACTTCGATGCGGCATGTAGCAGGGAACGCTCCGTTCTGCAAGTCTCCCGGAGCTAAGGTACTGGCGGCTTGCTGGCTCTTCGTGAGAGCCTGGGCGCCCCTCAGCGCGCCCCGAGGCACAAAGAAGTCGCGACAAAGAAGCACGACTTCTGCGAGCCAGCGGCCCGCACATTTCCGGAGCAATCACGGCCTTGCGCATTTTTTATAGTGTCATAATATCTTTTTGGCTCATGATACTGTGATGCCTGAAGATGTTTCTTGCAATTGGCCTAGCCCGCATGCTGCTAAGGTCACCAAACTTTCAGCACAAAGACGGGCTGAGTGCCCTGCGCCCGGCGGAGTACAGTACTTCTGCATAATAGGGCAGTGCTTGGCTTTCAGGTGGAATACGACGTTGGTGGGAACTTGGCCAAGATATTTTCCAAGTTTGCAGAGGCACTCGGCAAGGGTCAAGCTGCCACAGATGGCGGGTATGGTGAGCTCGTGTATGAAGGACTATGCCGGTCCCTTCATCACATTCAACGCCGACGCATCAATCAGCTCCGTCCTTACACCATGAGATTGGTCGTATTTCTAGACATGCAGTGTGCAGTGTATTTCAGGCTTGCGCGAGACCTGCATCTACAAGGCCGTGCAGTCGTTGCAAGCCTTCTTGCCCATGTTGACACATCTCCATGCTGCATGGGGAAAGGAGGGCCGGGTGGTGAGCAAGCTCAAGCGCGGGCCCTAGCTCCACATGCATTGACAGTAGCCTGCTGCGGTTCTAACGGGATGATTCAGCGGCGGTGCTGGACACCCGAAGGTCAGACATTCCGGAGGAATTCGTGGCTAAAGCGCTACGGATGCGAGGGCCCCGGTTGCAGAGCTCAGCAGCTGCAAAGATGGCGATCCTTCGTGCGTCAAGCTGCGACTCGCTATTTCTCTATGTTTGTACCTTGATCCCTGGTTGCTTTTCCTCGTTCTCTCTCGCTCCCAGTCTTTGTTTCCCTTGGCCTTTTTCTCTCTTTATCTCCCGGCCTTGCCGCTGCAATCTCGAATAGACTTTCAGCGCCGCCAGCAGCGGCCGAGTGTGGTCGTCCCTCAACCCACACCTCAGGTTGGTCGTCCCGGTCAAGAAGGCCTTGGGTATCGGCTTGGCTCCAAATGAGGAGGAGCGAATCCCAGAGTGGAGCATGCGGTGCGCTTCGAACAGAGAGGCGATTGCATGGGGGATGACAACGAGCACAAACGACAACTCTGACCACTCTGGCGCTTCATTGCTGCCGTTCTTTCAGCTCACTTTCGGCTCGGACGCGGCAAATCAAACAACGCCGTGGTAGGAAAGCCACAAGATCATTGGGGCTTGTGGGTTTAGGTTTCTGGGATAAGTGCATTCCGTGAATCCGACCTCCCAGAGTTTGGTTGATCTGTCGCTGGAGGAGTTGTGCATACAGCACGGCGTGGCCTGGGATGCAGTGCCACCCGCAGAGCTTTCCTTTGCGAGGCCCGGTTGTGGTGGGTCTTTCAGCAGCTTCTCTCGGTCATCGGTCACCCTAAACCCTCCTCAGGCCCTACACCCTGTAAGCCTCCAGAGTTCCAAGTTGCGAGCTTCCAAAAATCGTCCACGAAATGAACCCTAAACATATAAACCTATAAACCCATGTCCAGCTATGCAGGAGGCAAAAATCAATCCACATCAGCCCATATGGGAGTTTCTGAAAATTAGGGGACCCTAATGTGGTACCCAAAATACTAGGACCCACATTATTAGGACCCCAGAATAAGGTACCCCTAGTTTTCAGAAGCTCCCATATCAAGGGGAAGCCCACAAAGTCGACCCACAGGCCCGACGTGGAGACTCCGATGCCCTTCCGCACTCGCGAAGCAAAAGTGGCGGAGAAGCAGCAGGCTTCGCAACATCGGGGGTGCTGAGCTTGTTTCTATCAGTCCTTGTTATGTGGTTCGAGTTTGTCGGAGTATTTCGTAAGCCCACGGAGTATCAACAAGAAGAGCGGGTACCTCTCCATGCACGCAGAGTTCTGCGACATGGCGATGGTTTTTGTGCGACATATGCGTGCAACTCCTACCCTTGGCTGGCTCCGTTCGTGCCGTTTGTCGTTGAGTGTGATGCTTTTCATGCTGGCAGTGGACACTACCACTATCTCGAACTTAGCAGCAAGACCAAACGGTGCACACGATGATTGATTGTCAAAAATTCGACTACCGAATTCACAGCCCTCGAACATGCGAGGCGGTTGCCGAGCCTGCAGCTTTCACGCCGTCGGATCGCTTTCAAGGTGCCGCTGGCTGCTTTGTTTCAACTGGGCTTTAGGGCCCTGAGGGGCCCTGAGCCTAAACCATTGTAGCTTCCTCCTGCACCACCCAGTGATCTGTTCTGCACCTGAGACTTCCTGGGATCCTAGTAGTCACATCTTGCTTCATCCTTGTACTAGGATCTCAGGTCGGAAGCAGTCGACAGAGCACAGTCACTTTATCTGTTGGTAATATAGGTGTTGCTTTCCATCGTGACTCCTTCCTTAGTTTCGTTTCACTTGGCAGACCTCGAACCATATGCCTCGCCTGGATTGTCCCAGTGTGAGCGCCGAAACCATCCAAAACTCTTTTCCTGCAGTTTCAGATCTTTTCAGCAGTGAGGTCTGGACCGTCTACCTGGAGTGTAGTTCAGGGAGTGCTGAATGAGCATGGAGTTTCAGCCTCGTGGCAACAAGCTTGTCTTCTGAGAGCCTGATATGCAGCTATCCATCCACCCACCCACCCACCCACCCAGCCAGCCAGCCAGCCAGCCATCCATCCATCCATCCATCCATCCACGCATCATCCGTCATCATTCGTCATCATCCATCCATCCATCCATCCATCCATCCATTCATCCCTCCGCTCATCCCTCCACGCATCCATCCATCCATCCAGCTATAGCTCCAGCTCTCTCTCTCTCTCTCTCTCTCTCTCTCTCTCTGTGTGTATTTTTTCTATCTGTTTGTTTGTCTATCTATCAGTCTCTATCTCTATGTCTGGCTCTCTCTCTCTCTCTCTCTCCCCCTCTCCCTCTCCGTCTATCTATCTGTCTATGCATCTGTGGACGTATCGAGCTGTTTGTACATAGACACATTTGTACCTATGCAATCCTATGCATATATGCGGATGTGTGTGTGTGTGTGTGTGTGTGCATATGCATGTACCTGCATACATACATACAGGCAGGCAGACACACAGAGACAGACAGACAGACAGACAGAAAGACAGTGCTACAGACATGCAGACATATAGAAATTCATACCTACCTATACGCTTATGTACAGGTACATTTGTACTTACATATCTACATACATAACATATGCATACATACAGTTATCTACATAATGTATTACGTTGATACGCTCTCCGCATCTGTTTGCTCATGGCTTTGCAAATTCGTTTAACAACTAACTTCCGTATCTGTCTTTTCTTGATGCCATGGTTATGTTAGTATATACGCATGGCAGGTGCAAGGCCAAACTGTGTCTTCAAGCTGGGAGACCGTGGCCTCGGATACTACTCTGAGGCTTGGTGCTGTCTGCCTTCGTCCGGGAACGTATGGAGATCACCTGCAGAAAAGCACGCTCGATGGGATTGGCTCTACACCAGTCTACTCCTAAACCCTTAGCCCTAAGCTAGACCTGTAGTGTCCGAGAAGCAGCGCTCCTGAGCTGTCCGAGCACAGGGAGCTTCAATCCGAGTCAAGACACCCCTGGTTCGTGAACCACTACACCGGACTGCACCCAGTTCCTCACGCGAAAAGGCCCCTCAACCAGGGATCCATCTTGTCTTGGGTCAGGCGAGGCCTATCCCAGACGGTCGCCGCCTGAAGCGGATGTGCCACACAAGGGCCACATGGGAGTTTCCGAAAACAGGGGACCCTAATATAGTACCCATCATCAAAGGATCCTTATTATAAGGACCCCAAATAAGGTACCCCTATATTCGGAAACTCCCACATGGGGGCATTGGGTGTTGCACTTTGGAACGGAAAGGTCGCCTTGGGGCTTTCCAAAGCCGTCATATCTGCAGTCTGTTGCATGAATACACTGGGCAGGTTTATGAGTCTATGCCATGCCAGGTAAACTTTCGCTCGGCCTGGTATAGGAGGTTTGCTTTACTTCATGTCCTAGTTCGTGCTTACCCCGACGCCATCAACCAAACATCAACAAGACACGCTCGGTTGTTAGTCTTGTAGGCCTTCCGGGTCGGGCGCTTTGTGGTTCGACCGTATGGCTTAACACAAACACGAACAGGCAGTGTCAACGGGCAACAACACTTAAGTCCTCAAACCCTTACAAACCCTAAACTTTAGAACGCAATCCCAAGCTTGTATCTAACCAGCTACCGTATACTCTCTAGCCGTCTAAACCCTGTGGCCGTTGCTTGAACTCCCGACGCCCTTCAAAAATCTGAGACCTTAACCCGAACCCCAAACCTGTGTTCGAAAAACTCGTACAAGTCTTAAAGCCTCACCCTAACTACGGAGCATTATAGAAGCCTGGCTTACTTGTACTTCCGTTCTTTTCGGGTTCCTTAAGTGAGTTAAAGAGAAGTATCCCCAATAACCCCAGTCTAACTCTTAAGCCCCATATAGTGGAGCCCTTAAAGTAACCTCTTACTTCTATCGGGCCAGCACCCAAGTCCGAACGCAGAGGCCTGACTTGGGAGGGGCTTTTGAGCGCCCGCTGCTGAGTGAGAAAGACTTGATTTACGGGGTTTAGGGTTTAGGGTTTAGGGAGTTCTCCGACAGAGTCTGGGTTCAAAAAAAAGGGAGTTCTCCGAAAGTCGGGGCTGAGTGTGCGCCGAGCTTATAGGGTTTTGGGAATTGGATTATTAGAAGGCCAGGGGTTGGGGGAGTCTTGGTGCTTCGAGGGTGTAGAAGGCAACGGTTTGTTTGACACATCGGTGCCTGGTCTTGGTTGTTTGTTTTTGTATCTACTGAACATATATGCTTCCTGGTTGCTCCAGAACCAAGCGCACCTTGCTGTTCGACAATCGCCAATATGATTCTTGCTGCGATCATTGCCGGTGCTTGGCAGCCGTTCTGATTTTATGCATCTACATCATCCTTTGGATCCGTGACTCCGGACCGATGACCTTTGTCTTGAAACAGGTCATTGAATTGGAAGCTGCGCACCGTTCTCACTTGTTGGCGCATCGCGACTTTTTGCCAGATTGTTGAGGCGGTTAGCTTTGGGCATGTCATTCTGAGCATGCACCTGAGCATTCGTTTGTGCTTGAAGTGTTGAAGTCTCGTGCTACCCGAATTTGCGTGAAGCTTTGCCTGCCTTGCGAGAATTGCCTAAGTTGTGAGCATCAGAACACTCATGTAGGCTTAGATCGCCCAAGCCTCCTTTCTGGAAACCCTGCAGTGCCCCTTATATCCGAAACCCGTTCCTCTAGAACTTGGACCCTATTCGAAGGCTCCGCCGCAGGGTGAAGTCGGGCCTGCTTGGGCGCGGGACTTGGGAGCGGAACTGGTGTCTGGATTGCCCCCACGAGCAAGAGCCAGGTTTAGGGCCTTTAGGGCTTCCGGCCAGAATGTCCGTCGCAAGGATGAACACGTGGCAAATCCAACAAATTATGGGCTCCAGCAAATCGGAAGGCTTTTGCTCAGGACCATGGGCGGGGTAAAAATCAAGTGTTGCAGTCACCATAATGGACGTTGATAGCCGTGCTCAGCCAACCAATGACAACACTTAAATATTTTACAGGGTACAGTTCTGGACAGCCCGTTGTCAACCATTCTGCGAAAACAAATCTTACATCTTGCTATGCCATCACATGTTTTGCTATGTCCTGCATCTTCTTTGTCCAGCGGCAGCAGTCCTCCCGTTTACCGTTCCGTGAAGCAGACCTTAGATGTCAATTACCATGTTGTAAGTCTGAGCGAAGCCATGGCAGCAGTTTGTACAGTTCGCTACATCAAAGCAATGCCGTTTTAACATCTTGGACCAGCGACCTAGGAGTGCCGATTTCGAGGGCACCTTAGGCTATGCTTCAGCGAAATTGCAGTGTGAGATGCAAAGATGTTCTCCTCTGAAGCTGTGTCAAGACATGGGCTTGTTCCGGGCGACGCGTAAGTGTCGGGGGCTCGGTGGTTTGATCCCAAAACATCTCTCCCCACTAGGTGGGCCCGTTTGGGACCCGAGAACCGGCTGCAGAGAAGGAAACCGTCCCGCAGGCGGGCACCCGTCCTGGTTTTACGAGGTGGTGAGGTTGTTGTTGCGGTTCCTCTTGCTTCCACGTTGCTCATGTTCTTGCGGTCATTGTCGTCGTCCTTGTTCGTCGGTCATCGTCGTCGTCGTGGTCGCTGCGGTCACGGGGGTTGTGGTGGTGGTGGTGGTGGTGGTGGTGGTGGTGGTGGTGGTGGTGGTGGTGGTGGTGGTGGTGGTGGTCTGGCAGTGCTGTGGTGGTGGTGGTCAGGCAGTGCTGGCGGTGTTGGTGGTGATAGTTGTGCTGACGGTGCTGGCGGTGTTTGTGGTCGTTGTCGTTGTATTGTTGTCGTCATGGTAGCGGTTGTGGGATGGGCGGTGGAAGTTGCGGTGTTGTCAGGTGCCGGATCCTCAAGAAGCGCTGGGGTCTCAGCTGCCTCTGCCACTCGGAGGCCCGACTTGCATCGCGCCTGCATGCAATTCATGATCGCGTTGTTTTCTTGGCTCAGTTGGGTTGGAAAACCTGCCGCACCTGACGGCAGATCGGCCCTTCCCTTTTGAGCAATGTTCCAAGCAGGATGGTCCCTTTGTTTCCTTGCCCAGGCAGTGGCAGCCGGCCAATTGCACGACCAGACAGCCTTCAAGGCAGCTGGAGTCTCCGCACCACGCGGCCCAGCTCCTCTCAGCGACGTTCCCGACGAGGAACTCTTGGCAGACGGGGAGCGCGCAGAGAATACTACACATCTCTTGAAACCAAAGATCCCGCCAGAAGGCCTTGCTCTTCTAAAAGAAGATCTCCAGTGGCTGAGGGACATCATGTTTCCTGCCGTCGGCGTACCGTTCTTTCCTTGGACACTGGTTTCCTTTTGCCTCTCCTGGCTGACTGTCTTGGCCAGTGCCGGTCTGGCGCGTTCCTTGCTATCCGACAGGCAGCTTAGCCCCAGCAAGAGTGTGGATGACTTCCAGGACTGGTAGTCCGTTAGCACCGAAATCTTCTACTTGCACCTGGAACTGTGGGAGTCGAAGCAATCCTTATCATCTCTCTCTATCTCCATCTATATATATATATATATAGTTTTACCATGTATTAACATGTATATGTGTTGGGTTTTCATTTAATTGTTTAGGGAGTTTTATCACACGACCCGAAGCCATCCCAATCCCAAGGCCCGGCCTGCCCCAGAGCCCCAATCAAGCACTCAAGCAAATCTCTTTCCAGGAACCGGGGGAGTCCATGGATGTACAGGCCGAAGAGCCGGGAGAGGAGGCCCCCGGCGTTCCTCCACCGAAACTGGGCTTTCTTGTCGATGTTAGTGTTTGTTCTTTCAGACCGACAGCCAGAGTCAAGATGACTTTTGAACGCTGTAAGGGTAAATCCCGAAGAGTCCGTGCGAATCCTTGAAGTTCTAGCCCTCAAAGCCCCAAACTCTAAAGTTGAAGCCGAAGAATGAAGCCCAGGAAGCGTGATCCAGAAGTGACCAACCCTGTGCTACTCCAGCGGGCTACGGAGAAGGAAGAGCAGGCACAAAGGAGGGCAGTGCATATCCGGATCCTTGAGTCGAATGTGTTTGTTTATGGCTCAAGATATTGATGTTTGGTCCATTTTGGTCCGTTTAATTAATGGTCTAGCTTGAGTTTTAGGGGCGGAGGGCATATACCAGTGTGTGCAAACAGGGACAGGGGTCAGGTGTTGAGTTTTGGGCTCAGTGTGGGTTTCGTTCTCAGTGTGGGTATAGGGCCTAATATTGGGTTTCAGGCTTCGGTTTCCGGATCCAGGTGTTGCATTTGAGATTAGCGTCATTCAACTGGTCCCCATCTTGTATGATAACCCTGAAGCTGCATTGATTGTACACGCTCAAATTCGGCTGTTGGGGACCACATCTACTTTGTTCATGCGGTTTGGCCAGCCGTTGTCCACCGGGAAGTGGCGGCGTGAGTTTTGAGCCCAGGAAGGCGCAGAAGGATTACGGAGACGTCTTCGGCTGCTCTGCCCTGCACGTGGCAGCACACAACGGCCATTCAGAGGCCAGTCCTGGGAGGTTTGGCATGGTCATTTTGTTTTGCAGCCCCTCCATGAGGGTTTTGTTGGTGTCATGTCTTCTCTCAGCACATCGTTTCGGCTGCTGCCTTCCGAAATGGTCCTACTGCCAGTTTGCTTGCTCAGGATGCTCAGATCAGATGACCCCAAAATCTAAACACCTGAGCCTGAACCTCTTGTTTGTACTGGCTTTTTGCTCAGTGGGATGTAGGCTTTCTGAGGGCATTTTCTGGACGCCCGGATATCTTTTTGGGGGGTTGCAGTTTGGGACGTGTTGCTGATCAGCCCTAATGGATGAACCCTGAACAGGATGTGGCGGAGTTGCTGTCAGCAGGCTTCGACGTAAACGCACAAGATCACTTCGGAGAGACTCCGCTTCACATGGTGGCACGTTCGGGCTGCCTTGACACGGCAAAGCTTCTACTAAAGCTCCTTGGACTGTATAATGGTTGAAGGTGTGCCCAGGGTACATTTTTGCTTGCGCGATGAGTAGTCTGGAAAGGGGCTGGCAAAGTGAACGTGGGCACTTCCATGACAGCATTGAGATTGGTTGTTCGGGTTGTCGCGCTTGTTTCTTTGGCCGCCATTGTTCCTTAAGTAATACATGTCTGGAGGTGTTCTTTACACTTCTGTTCGCCAGACTCGGTTGTGCATTCACCGTTGAACTCGTGCTGTTTGAAGATATGGGAGTTTCCGAAACTCAGAGGTACCATATTTGGGGGTCCTCATAATAAGGATCCTACTATTTAGGGTAATATTAGGGTCCCCTATTTTCGGAAACTCCCATATGTCCGACATATTACAACAGGCCCAGAGCCGATGTCGACTAGCTCCAAAGTGCCCCAAAGGCCCCTTCAAGACCGGATGAACATGATGAAACAGTTTCCTGAACATGACTCTGATGCATGCGAGGTGCCCGTCCTTTCTCCTCGTGTGCTGATGTATGATAGTTCGCATATCTGGCTCTGGAGTGAAAACCCGGCCAGGTTACCGCCGGACTTGAACTTTGAAGTCATGAACTAACTACAGTTCAATCCCTCAAGCCGGGTCTATGGCAGGCGTAGTACATCAGCGTGTTTGCCAGTGTGCACGTTCAAGAAACACCTTGCCTGCCAGGGACATGACAAGAAACCTACACAAACACTTACAATTAGGGTAATTATACTTATAACCCCAATTGAGGTACTTATAACCTTACTTACAAAGTCCCTTTAATTCCTAAGCTTCCAAGCCCCTAAGCCCGAGGCATGGTGCTGACAAGACCCGACGCCACTGAGCCGAACTTGAGGGACCGCAATAAGGTAGCCAAACAAAAGGCGGTTCTAGGTTTTATGCAGAAAAGGATCCTTCATAGAAGGACCCCTCAAAGCATAGATTCTGTCAGTCCTGAATGTGTGCGGTTGCAGTGGAGTTTGCATCCTAGGGTAAAGATGCTGAATCCCGAACTTACGGGGCCCAGGTAAAGTACCCGAATATGGTACAGACCTTACATAAAACGGCTGCCCCCCAAATTAGGGACCTATCAGTGACTTTGCTCAAGAGGTAACTGCAACGGCCTGACGCCCTCGGCCGTGGCAATGCTGCATGACAAGTCCTTCGCTGCCATGCTCAGCACCGACTTCTGAGCAATCTGGGGGGTTCCGAAAATTGGGGGTACCTTATTCTGGGGTCCTTATTATTTCCTACCATTTAGGATACCATATTAGGGTCCCCTATTTTCGGAAACCCCCATCTGGCGGTTCTTGAAAGCTATGTGGCTCTAGTAGAGGGCCTCTACAATTTCAGTAGGGTTCGGGGGGGCCGCAAGCCTCTGCACGACACCTTCTTTTCAGATTTCCTTGCCCCAGGTTGCTCCATCCAGCAGCCTTTTGTCCATCCGCACCCTTGCCGAGTCTTACCCCCGAGACTTCGATCAGTTAGCCACAAGATGCTTGAAAGAAAGCGGCTTGATTGAAGCAGTTGTTCATACCGTCAATCACTTACTGTACGCTCACGACAGCTTAGCTGAGAGGAATTCCAGGCTTCATGCTGGGAATGTCCTTAGCTTTTCATATCGCATTATACGATGTGATATAACATAACATGGTATTGTACCATTTTTGTTACATCCCATCACATTAAACTATATTCCAGTATTCTACACTTCGTTATACTATACTGTGTTGCAGTTTACTATATTGCTGAAAACGCCTTTGGATGCGCTGCCGAGCACACGGCTTACAGTTTGCATGAGAACACATGCCAAATTGTGTGATGCTTGCGTAGTGACTGCATCTTGCTGTGACAGAATTCCCACAATAACAGTAACAAGTATGAAGACTAATAATCATCATCATAATCGTAATAATCACAACAACAACAAAAATATTAATTAACCAGAAGACCACTAGTAGACTACGCCTACGACTAAGGCCAAGAAACTCGTCTCGGCGGCCTCAGTTCCCCACGCCCGGACCTCGTTTGCTTCGGGGGTCTTCGGTGTGGGTTTGAATCCATGGCACAGTTAGTAGTAGTAGTAGTAGTAGTAGTAGTAGTAGTAGTAGTAGTAGTAGTAGTAGTAGTAGTAGTAGTAGTAGTAGTATTCCCATAGTATAGGGTCCTTAAAGTCATGCAGGATTTATATCATCAACCGTAGTACTACTACTACTACTACTACTACTACTACTACTACTACTACTACTACTACTACTACTACTACTAGTACTACTACTACTGCTACTACTATGCTACTAGTATGAGTACTGGTACTAGTACTAGTACTCTATTCTTCGAGCCTTGAAACCTAAACCCTATTGGCCCTATTGAGTCAGCACAGCTCTCGCAGCTTCTTCTGGCTTGTCGGAGCTGTCGCCCTTGTGCATCTGCTTGCACATGCAGTCCCAACAAGGTTCATCCCTATTTCCCGCATAGAGCAGCAGCTGGTAGCAAGCAGGGCTACAGCGGAAGCATTGAAAGAAGATCCCACTTTTGGCCCTTCTCCAGGGGCCACGAAAGAGGTGCACGCCAGGCATGTCCGAGTTGTGAGAGCATTGAGCCTCAGACCCCTACAGCACGAAGCCCAAAAAGCCTACGTGCCCTAAACCCGAAACCTGAAACCCTCCTCAAGCCGTGCCTGCCTGTGTGCATGTAGAAACCCTAAAAAAAAACCTTAAACCAATCCTAAACCCTAAGCCCGAAAACCTAAAGCTTAAACGCTAAGCGGCCCTAAACCTTAAAGCGTGCGAGCTGAGAGAGCGTAAACCGCAAAAACTTCGGCTCCAAGACAAGAGCCGGCCCAGCGCGGCCCGTAGCCCAGAGCGCCATGCACCCAGCTCGCCGCTCGAGGTGCGCGTCGTCGCACTTTTAAAAAAGGGACCTTAACTTCTTGGAGTTCAGGGTTTCCGTAAGGGCTCTCTAAGGCGGTTCTGTTTGAGGTTACTGGAAGCGTTGTGTGTATGTGGGCCTGAGCAACAACAGCAACAACAACAACACCAACCAAAGCGCCTGCAGCAGTAGCAGCAGCAACAGGGGCAACGGCAACAAAAGGCAACAGCAACGACAGCAGCAGCACGAATAGCAACAATAGTAGCAACAGCACAGTACCGACGACAACAACACCAGCAACCAGAAGCGCAAGAACAAGCACGTGTTGCTGTTGTTGTGGTCGTTGCCGGTGGTGCTCGTGCTGATTCTGGTGCCAGTGGCAGATAGCCGCAGTGGGGTGGCAGTGCTGCTGGCCATGACGATGGTGATGGTAATGTCGTTGCTGATGATGATGACGGCACAAGCAGCAGAAAGGAGGAGCCCTCAAGGAAGCCCTTGCGCAGGCCTGCGCTGCATGTCGGGCTCGTGCTGGGAGTTGTGACCGGAACGCAGCTGCTCCAATCACTGTGGTGCATTCGATCCTGGGTGCCCCAGGCATCACACAGGCCACCACTGAGGCCGCGGAAGGCAGTGGGCACAGAATCGGCTGTCAGAGACGTCGCCAACGACGAGCACTGGCTGTCGTTTAGCATCTCGGCAAGAATAGTCTTGTGCCAACATTAATACACAGGTCAAGACATGGACGAATGGAATTTTACTTCGGCGCTATTTCTGGTATGATCAATGCATGCATGAGAAGCTACGTCTTCAAATGAAGGAGTGCCACGTTTAACGGCGATGGGGCATGAATGAGGTAGGCAGATTTGGGGCATCCAGGGGGATGGCCGTGCCTTCCTGTGCATTTCTATTCTACTTCGTCCATACCATAAGCTTCAGAAGCAGGAAGCGGTCAAGGACAATCATGAAAAATGCTACCATTCACAAGAAGGCATTAATGAATGCTTACTTGCTCGACTGGGATCAACCTGAACTTGGCTTCAGGCAGCAGTGTCGACATAGAGGGTGCATCTGCATCAGAAGCGTACGATATCTACGCACATCTGCCGAACCACCCAGAGTGGTCATCTTTGTTGTCTGAGGCTTCTTGGAGGCATTGCAGAGAGCCTTTCATGTTGAACTGTTTTTGACTATATTAACCCCTGGTTCTGATGCAAGTTGAACTGGTGTACCAGATCATTGGACATGTAAGGTTGAAGTCCACGACAACAGTCAGTCAAGCACCTGGTCCCTCCAGGCTCTCGGCTTTAGTTTCTCATGGACAGCGGACATCACCCGACAGGTCCCTTCAAAGCTAATCGGCTGGGAAAGCACCAGCGGCATGAAGAATGCGGGTGTTGCGAAGTTCCAAGAGCTGCCTCCTTCTGCTGGAACGCCGGCCTGCCGCGTGACGGTGGCTGGAACCCTCTTGGAAAGTTGTTGTCTGCCCGTGCACTTGAAGGTCAGTGGTACTCAGGGCAATGGCAGTAGGATTCTTGTCCTCTGTGCTACCTGCTACCTAGGTTCAGATGAGCCTCAAGACGCCCTCCCTTTTGCGACGGGTCTTCCAATCCCGACGACTGAGCAGCATGGCAGAAAGCGCCATCGGGAAGGACCATAGTGCCGTAGCTCTGGTTTTGGGATCAAGTTGAAAATCAAGTTGAAAATTAGTCTCTTCGCAGACAGGCCCAGGGATAGGAGACATGGACTATCTGCTGCCAGCATTTTTGTACCACACCACATGTTTCCTGAAGCTGCAAGTCAAGCCGGAGCAGCATGGCAGACTGCAGCGGGTCCAGCATCACATATTCTGCATGAATATGCTCTCCTGGGGCATGTACCGATCTGTTTAACTGCCTGCAGGCATGCAGGGACGGACGAATGGATGAATGGAATCGAATGGAATGAAATGGAATGGATGAATGAATGAATGAAATGAAATCATGCTGAGTGGTTGACATGGCGTAGCACAGCGATGCTGTCACGGATGTATTCCAGCCAGTGTTGGAACTTGGCAAACAGTACTTATGATGCTGCTATTGTTTGTTGACCACACTGCCGTTGAGACTGCTGCCGGCTCAAGACACGTAGTGATAAGGTGTAGCTGCAGTGGGAAGGACTAGTTCGTTGTCGTTGACCCCGACCCCATGTAGATGGATGAAACATGATGTAACTGGTTTGCGGGTGATGTCGGTTGGCAGGGGTCGTTAGTCCGCAGTGCTTTTGAAGCGACGAGCACACAACTGCACCCCACCGAAGAGCAACAGTTCAATCCCCAAGTCCCGAAGCCTTTATAGTGGTGTGCACTGGTGCACTGAAAGGCATATTGCGAGCATGCTTTGCTGAGTTGCAGCCTGTGTGTTGCTCAAACGTGTAAGTTTTCGCAGAGTTCGGCCCTCCGTGCTTTTCTGTGTTCAGGGGCCGCTGGCGCCTCTGCTGTCGCTGGCGAAAGACTGGCGGCGATGGCGGACGTCGTCCTCCTGTTCTAAAAGATTCGCCACACGTGCGTCGTGATGCGAAGCCGGCGAGACTTTGTTGCAGCCTCGCGTGTTGGTGCATGTCAAAGGATTAAAGGACTGTGCTCGAGCTTGTGTTGTGTCAGCATTGTGATTGTAGTGCTCTCTTGTGCAGCCTTTATTTGCGTTGGTCTTGTGTGTGTATCTGCCCGTGCTAGGCTTGGCCAGTCATGATCGAGGTATTAGAGCTCGAGTTGGTATAGATCTGAGTGCTGTAGCTCTGCACGTACATGTAAGAGAAAAGTCCGCATGGCCTATCCGGACAACTTCGCGGGTATTGCCTCGGCCAATCCAGAAGTTTTGTTGCAAGTCGAGGAGCACGGAGTGCATAGCATTACGGAAGCAGTGTTCGCCATCCAATCGAGTCGCCTGCCGCCTGAGCTGTCGACATCGATCCATGCACACTTGATATTGGCCGTTGGACCTGCTGGGTTCCCAAGCGCGGCACGTCCAGCTGCGACAGAAGCACCGAAGCCTAAGGTGCGACGGACGGACCTTCCGGTTGTGAGGCCGTCGAGTTCTGGTTCATTGTCAAAGGCACTGGCGTCCGCTCGCCCAGAGGCCAGGAAAGCGACGCTCGATCGCTTCAACCGTGATGCTTGGGCGCCGAGCAATCAGAAGCCGCGGCAAGCTCGCTGGAACACATGGAGCAAGTTGTGCAAAGCCTGGGACATTCCTGCTCTCCATTTGACAGTCATCGAGAAGGTTTCAGATAGGTTTCAGCGTCATTGAATGGCGGTGGTTATCGCTCAACCAGACAATACTTTTCAAAGGGCCACAGGGAACATGCTCATCAGATGAAAGCTGAAGTGCCGCCAGAGGTCTTGCTTAAGATGCGTGATGCTGTCCGACCCATTGAGCGCGGGATTGGATGTCTTCAGGATGCGTTCCGCTTTGAGGAGCTCTTGTTGCCGAAGCCTTTGGACATAGTTCTTGCAGCTAGGCAACAGGCAGTGTCTGTGGTTGTGCTCGGTTGTTGGTTCTTGATGAGAGAGCTCGAGATCGCAGCAATCCCTGCAAGCACCTCAGCACTGATTCTGCGCGCCAGGAGGTGGCCCTTGCTTTGGCCGCCAGCAAGACTGATCAGCAAGAGAACTTGGTCGAGAGGAAGCACCAGTGCCATTGCATGCATGTACCCACGCAGTTCTGCCCATTTCACACTGCCTTGGCCTTCGACAAGATTTGCTCGCAAGACCCTGCAGGCCTTTGTTTTGTCAGTTCTTACGGAGATGAGTTGACCAAGCAGGAGGCCATCACGCTGATGCGCAAAGTCATTTCCGAAAGCAACTTCGAGATGCGACGTGCACGTGCCCAGGGGCAGTCTTGTGTTGAGAAGTTCAATGGTCATGTGCTACGTGTTTCGGGCTCGCAGTTCCTCGCCCAGACGCGTGGTTCCACTTCCCACAATCATATTGCGGGGTTGATGGGGAAGTCGAAGTGTGGAACGATACGTGCAAGCTCGGCCGCCACTGGCGGTTGGCAATAAGAAGGCACACGTCCGAGACCCACACGAGGTCGAGACAGTGAATTGGAAAACAGTGTGTGGTTGTTGGCGCTATGGTTGTGCGTCATTCGTGAGGTCGAGAGAAGAATATCCGGCCCAGCGGTGTCGGTGGTGCTTTCGCGGACGAGAGCCAGGGTGGTGGTACGGATGCGGTGAGTGATTCAGAGAACTCGGGATCTGCGACATCATCGGGTTTTCCGAAGCTGGTTCCTGCGCGACAGAGACTTGAGAGAAGGGTGGTATGAAGGAGACGTGTGCCAGCGGCGCCGGTGCGCCGCAAACTATATTGAGTGGCAGACAAAAGTGAAGGCAGCCGTGTCCTATACATGCATTGCCCATAGCATATCATGTTTGTGTCCTTTCGCACCTTGATGCTTCGAACGCAGTGCCAGGTGGTGTGTGCAGACCTGTGCATCCATGGAAGCTCGACTTTGATGTTGTGTGCGCTCGTGCCGCAGCTTGCTTAAAGCATTACTAGCAGTGTGTAGCTGCAAGCCCAGCCTTTCTGTGTCGTGCCTGCGTGCAAAACAGGCCATGGGCGAGACAGAGCCTTTGAGGCAGGCAATGCGCGATGCTGGACTAGCTGACAACCTGCAGCAGTACATCCTCAGCCGCGACATAATGCCCGTCGGGGTCATGGCGTCCATCGCTGGCAAGATCAAAGAAGTGGACGAAGCACTAGCCGATCCACTAGCATCTGCATTTCGCCTCCCCAGTGGCTCGGAGATCAAGCTTTCCAAACTTGAGTTCCTTTGGCGGCAGTGTTATCAAGAATGCAATCCTGTGGTCGAACCACCCTCAAAGTCGTTCGCGGCAACTGTGACAAATCCACGCCATCAAAGACGTCGCCCAAGGAGCTGCCCAGCGGTCGGTTTGCATGAAGTTGTGCAATCTAGACATTTGATGCTTCTGGCAACCCCAACCCTCTGAGCGCCGCCAAGAAGAAGAACAAATCCCAGGCGGCCATCCTGACCATCAACGCCGACTATCAGATTGAAACGGAGGCAGAGAATTGGTGGGCAGCCAAAGAGAGTGCTTGCGTTCATTGATTGTCTAGGGTCAATCCGCCTCCTCTTGATCTTGGCAGAAATGGGCAGTGAGGCGGGGCATTGAGCTGTTTCGAGTGGTTCAAAAAACAAGTGCGATCCAGGCCCCCCAAGCTTGAGCAGCTGCGCGTGTCTGGGGAATCACCGTCGTGGCTCATTGCACTTGCCCTGAGGGCCGAGCAAAACTTTAAGGCGATCGTAGAGGAAATCATCCTTGACAGCCAGTCCTTGCAGGACGCCTTGTCGAAAGAGATTGTGTTCCAGCAGGTGAAGAAAATGGGTCGTCCTCCTCGCAGCCGAGGCGAGCAATGGGACGGCAAAGGCAAGCGCAAGACAGACGAAGACGTGCGGAAGCAAAGGCTCATGGGATGATCGTCGTTGGCTGACCGCTATGACACCGCGAGACGGGGCACGTGTGGATGGACTCCGAACAGTTGGTAGTCACCGTCGTGGCAGGGATCTTCGTGGTCGTCGTGGCAGCAGAAGCAGTACCAGTTCGCGCAAGACCGCCGCGCCGTGCAGAAGGAGTAGGCAGCGCGGGCCGTCCGAAACGCGTCACGTCTCGGGCGGGCCGGACCTTGCCGCCCAGCAATCGACAGTGAAATTGGTATCAGCAGCACAGGTTGCAGAGCGTGAGAAGAAGCGAAGGCACCCCGATCATCGCGAGCTTTTGCAGCGGAAGACGTACAAGCGGGGGTGTAGCCACATAGTTCCTGTGAATGCCATTCTGTTGAGCTTCTTTGATGGTGTCAGCAGCACAGGGCTTGTCTTTCCGCAGATCTGCCAGGAGAAGTCGTGGACAGGCCGCACGCTTTTGTGGGAGACCAACCATGACCTAGGGAAGTTGACCGCTGAGCGTTTTCCGGAAGCAGAGCGTCGCGGCGACGTCGACAATGACACGGCCTGCGATATCATCGAGCGACTCGAAGCCATCGACACCGAGCACTAGGCCACCATCATTCTTGCTGGGGGTCCGCCGTGCCATCATTACAGTCGAATTCGTTCCGCGCCTCCCGGCCAAAAGGGAAAAGACTTGAAGCCTCAGATTTGCTAAGTTGATCAAGGAGCTGAAAGGGAAATTGGGCCTGGCCACAGGCAGTGGTGGTCGTCGAGAACGTCGTGCCGCACACGCTGCGCACACAAATCAGGGAGTGCAGACCTGCTCGTTCGTGAAGGCGAAGTTGCGCAGTGCTGGTGTGGACAAGGACTGGCAGGTGATGGCCGATGAGATCGCAGCGGATGTCAAGCGAGGCCGTATGGAAGGACCGTTTGAGATGCCGGAGTGTTGGGGCGTGCGAGCAGCACAGGTGGCGCCTTTAATATTGCTCTTGAGCATTGCCGCCTTGCCTTCATCGGCATTGCTTGCTTCTCGTTGACAATGAGCTCTCGTCAAGGGGTACGGGAAGGATGAGAGCATCAACAGGCTGCTCAGGCTGCTTGGATCTTCATTGAAAATGCACAGATACATCCTGAATGGCAGCAGTGTCCAGCTCTGCCAACGTGTCCGACTGTGAGCAGGGCTGATACGCACGGCTTGCTGGACAGCTGCCTCGAGGGGCCTTTGAGGGGCTGTGAGGGCTTTCAGTTGCGAATCAGTGGCTGCAGGCTTCGCACCTTTGGGTGGCAGCTGGTCTCACATGTCCCTCTTTTGAAGACCGGCACGATGCCGATGCTTGCAACAAAATACAGGGCTTGCGCCGTGGCATGTTCTTCTTGTGCATAGCTTTGCGAGCACGTCGTGGTGTGCACTGGTGCACTGAATGACATATTGCGAGCATGCTTTGCTGAGTTGCAGCCTGTTTGTTGCTCAAATGTGTAAGTTTTCGCACCCGCCCACTCCGCCCAAATCGGTGGGGTGGCCGGTGGTCTCACATGCCCAGCGTTTGAAGACCGGCACGATGAGACCAACCTACCGCAGCCTGCCGATATTTGCAGCAAAGTAGGGCTTGCGCCGTCGCATGTTTTTGTTGCGCATAGCTTCGCCAGCATGTCACAGAATGCTCTCCTTAGTTGGTAGACACTCATTGACGTCTGAAACCCGAGCGCGGGCACATGCGAACACATTGGCAGTAGATGCTTCTCCCCCTCTTCCTGCTCTTGCTCTTGCAGCCACGACGACTTCGACTACGATTGCGACTACTTACGAGTTGTTCTTCCATTTCTTCCACTACTACACTACTACACGAGTGCTAGTATTAGTACCGAGTACCAGTACTTGCTTTGCTGCTGTTGCAAGGGACTACCAGTACTGCTATTGCTACCACAGTTATTGCGACGACTGCTACTGTTGCTGCTGCGGCTGCTGCTGCTGCGGCGTTATCTGTCATCTTCATCCTCATTCTCGTCATCAGCATCGCACGTTCAGCTCCCTCATCTTCGGATCCTTCAGCAGCATCACCAGCATTTTTCTCATTATCCTCGACAACCGCGAAACCACCAGCATCATCATTGTCATCATCCACCGCATTATCATCTTCAACCCACGATGAGCCCACGGTGTTGCCGGCTCCGCCACCTTTGCGACTCCTCGCAAAACGTCGCGCAAAATACGATAAAGCACCCAGACTGCAATGTTCATGATTTCCTCCCTGCCTACAGCGGCTTTCGTGAGGGCTGTCGTCATTGCTCTCGTTTTGCTTGCGGGTCAAGTCGCGGATGAGTGGTGGCTACGAAGCGTGGTGGCGATGCCGGTGACGACGGTGGTGGCGGTAATTGTTGTGGCCGCACCGGCTGTGCGGCGGGTATGGTACTGTTCTTTTATTGAAATCGCAGGAGGCAGGAAGATGTTTGTGATGATGAGTCCAGCGGCCAACGTTGATGGTAATTGTTGCAAAGGTCCATGACGGTGATGACGAGTGTGGTTGTGACGATGATGATAATGATGATGCTCGAAAGGACTCTATGCTGGTGTCTGTGTGTGTGTGAATGTGATGTTGAAAATGAATCGGTTTGCCCACGGTTCCATTCTGTTGATGGTGACACTGCCGGTGATGCTGCTGACGATGTCGTGCAAATGACGAGAGGATTTGGCTACCTTCAGGGAGGTACTGCTCGCCCGGAAAGCACTCGCCAGTGCTTGTGCGGTGGTCCTGGAGAGGCCCAAAGTGAATTCTACGCTGCTCGGTCTTTTTCTTGTTCAAAGTTTTTGGATAATGTTGGTGCTCTGAGTGTTTTGTTTTTCAATGTGTTGCACAACAATTCCTACTTGAGGCCAGACGGGTTTGCGCATTGGGATTTCGCTGGGCTTGAAAGCCTGGCTGAGCTCCAACAGCCCAGGTACAAAGACAACCTGGGCCGATGTGAGTTGCTGGTTTGGCAGGATGGACGCCTGGAGTTCGAGCTGAATGGTTTGGGAACCTCCGACAACACAAGGAAGATGCTCGAAGACTGCAGCACCTTGTAGCACTCGTGGTGTGGGGCTACGCATTTCTGCATAAAAAGTCCTTTCCTGCGGCTTGCGAACTGAACAGAGGAACTTGTGATGGTGCTTGCACGTGTTTTTGTACAGGGAGGGTGTTTAGCCTGGCCTAGAAACCCAACACCGTACACGACAATAACAAGGCTTATCAAATTCAACCTCCTCCATCGCCTCACACACCTGGTAGACAAAGTGGCAGGAACGGATTTCACAATTGCACGTTCAAGGCACGGCCATCAAAGAGTTCGGCGACTCCGTCCAGTGCACAGCGCTTATCGACATGAGGCGTGGCATCGGATGCTCGCCTCTGGCCGTCCCCGGCATTGTGAACTTCCTGCAGAAGGCCTGCGCAGCCTTTGGCAAGTTGAAAGCCTAGGAGTAACTCGTGCAAATGTAATTCCCAGGCGAAGGCTTTCAGACGGTGGATCAAAGTCCACATGCCCCAGTCACCCTCCCAACCTGAAGTCCTGAACGCCTAGATTGCCTTAGACGGGCCCAGAAGGCCCATCACAGACCCTGAACCCCTACAGCAACCCTGAACAACCTAAGCCCTTGGAATGCCTGTCCCACTTACGTATAAGTGCCGAAAGTACGCCTACAGTATCCCTCATAGTGTCACTTACAGTCCCCCTCAAAGAACCCCGTCAGCCCCAAAGCCTGCCGAAGAAAGATCCAGGACGGCGGAAGGATCCTTCATACCGCAGCTGAGCTCTTGTTAAAGAGCTTTAAGTTACCATAAAGAAGATCAATAGCCAATTGCAGGGTTTCCTCTTCTTGCTAACTGAAACTAGGTTCCTTAGCAAGAATCCCTAGGCCTACAACCCCAAAATACTGGGGTTCATACAGGCCGTTAATAAAGACCCAAGGTCTCTTAAGCAGGTTCCTACATCTAACCCCCAAACCCCAGGAACCCTTATAGAACCCTAAATAAAGACCCAAGGTTTCTTAATCAGATTCCTCGGTTAGCAAGAACCCAATTACCTACACTCTTTTGGGTGTTCCTTATTGGAGTTCTAGTGAACCCTATTCTGATGATTAAGGCCCTAAACCCTAAACCATTAGGTCCCTTAGCAAGAACCCAAGGCCGTGCTCGGTCCGAGACCTCTGATGGCCCTGGCCCAGATGATTTCCCGCCTGGCGAAGCAGCAACTCGCCTTTGGTTTAATAGAGGGGCCTTAAAAATGACCTATACTATTTTGGAGGTTCTTTTCAATTTAACTATAGCATTATGGGTTCCAAAACCCTATTCTAAGTAATAAGGCCTATAGTAGGGTTTGGGGATACGGATTAGGGTTTGAGTTTAGGGTCCAGGGTTTCGGGTTGAGGAGTTGGGTCGGCACCCCAGTCCGTGTTGAAAAGAAGCTTAGGAATTACTGGCGGGGGGTTTGGGGCGGGGGGTTTGGGATTAGTCTAGGAAAAGGCTTAGTTAGATTAGGGACCTGGGTTTAGGGTAGGGTCCCTTCAAATGGACTTACGGTTCAGGGTTTTGTTGATTATGAGCGTTTCATGGGATCTTTCGCGATTGCTTTCATCTTTTCTTGTATTTCTTTCGGCATGTTCGAAGGGAACGCAAGTAGCTTCGGTTGATTTCACTGCTGCTGTCGCACCAGATCTTCCTGAACCAGATGCCCCGAGCTTTGTGGGTTTCACCACAAGCTCGTCGACGCCCGTGTTCTCCAGATTTCAAGGTGCTCGAGCTTTCAGGCTCTTATCGGTTTCTGTCAGACTGTGGCCTCATACAATGTTTCGAGCTTACATCGCCCATCGTGGAGTGTTTCAGGTAATCGTCGAGTATCTTCCATAAGTTGCCACAGGGAAGCATCTTACGCATGTGCACATCGGGTTAAGCAAGCGCGAACCCTTGAGAACCCCAAGTCCCGAATCCCTAAACCTTAGGAGGGGAACTGTTTGTATGAATTTATGATTTCGCGCCTTGTAGTCTCGGTCGAAGCTGATCAGGAGAGGACGGATGCTGTATCACGTATTGACCGCCGGGTTACTAAGCTCGAATACCAGCTTTATGATATTAAAGAGTTCCTCCTGAAGCTCGAAATCGAGATGAGAGACCTTAAGGCAACTGCAACCGAGGCCATTAATTTGCCCAACAATGTGTGTGAGGTCCTGGTAGACATAGAAGACTCCATGAAGACCCTGGCACCCAAACTTGAGAGATTGGTAGGTACGGTCAAGCATCGAGTGGATAATCAGAATTCTGTATTGCAGTGCATGTATTATTCACTGGATGAACAGTTCCTTTTGCTCTGCGATGTAGCCAATATCCTTGAGGAGGCCATTGACCCCACGTGCCCGTACCCTTTCACCCTCCGACTCGCAAACAGACCTAGGGGACAGGGCATGCGACCTAGGAACAGACAGTACTATTGAGATGCATTAGCGCCTCTTGGCAGCTCTGCTCGAAGAGAATTTATAAGTGACTGTTTCTAGGTTAGACAATGAGTCTTGCAACAGTCGCAGCCCGTCAGGAGGTGAAACAAGGGGCCATTTGGGCAAGGGAGCTGAATGATTTGCTGCTTGCTTTTCCTCCTGCCCTTACGTATGTTGCAGCCTCCCGCCTTCTAACCCGATTGCGACGTATGCGGGCGATCCTCCCTATCCTTAACTCGTGTTGTGTTTTATGGCCATATTGGTGTGCTATCTGGGATGTGTGTATCTCTGCTATTGTTTCTCACGAGGAGGACCGACCGGATACGGTTTCCATAAATGATAATAATATGCTTTTCAGGTGGGCTGAGACCACCGCAAAACGGGTGTACACCAGTTTGGATGAGTACAGCAGTATCTACACAGGGTGGAACTTACCCCTTGCGTGGCCTAGTGGGGAAGCTAGGCCTTTGTGCGACCGAGTTCCCTTTTCTTGCAGAGCCCTCCCTACGATGGAAGAGCATTATCGGCTCCTGCACACAATTCCGCCAAGGCTCATGACGAGACAAGCAAGTTTCAGTACTTCACTCTGATTGTCATGGCTTTATCGCCCCTTCAGTTTAGGGAACGCTTGTTGTCGGAGCTGCGGTCAATGCCACCGGGGGTTGCGCGGGTCGCTGTTGATTCCCTCTTTAGCCTCATTGCCCGTAATCGACTTTCGTATCCTTTAGGAGGTTACTCCCTTTTACACGACGTGATGATGGATGCTGCCCCCTTTTGGCTTGACCCACACAGCGACCCAGTGTCTCCTCAGATTAGGGAAAACACCGCCTCAGAGGTCAGCGATTGGGTTACTTGGGTGGAGGGGAAACTTTATTTTAGTGTGGTGGAGCTTTCTAGGTCTGAGGCCCCCGACGTCAACACGAGCTCAGAAGAGGATGAGTGTATCTCTAATACTGTTTACTTTGTCAACTCTAGATCTGTTGCTACTCAGACCTCGACAGCTTTTGAGCATGGCGCGGGGGGCCGTAGACGTGAATGCCACTCTGGACATTTCAGCTGACCAGGGGTTGGTTGTTTCGGTTGAACGGATGAAGCTCTCCATTTTGGAAAGCTTCGACCGAGTTTCAATAAAACATAAGATGTGGGAGGATGGCGGCCAAGTCCTTCATTTAGGGCTCAACCCTAGGGACCTTTCAAAGTTGACAATGGCTACAGCACCTTGTATGCATCTTCTTAGTTTGATCACCGCCTTCCTCAGCCGCATAGCCCCAAACCACAGATATAGCTCAGTCATAATCAGGGACAGTGCCGGCAAGGATATTCACAAGGATCTTAGAAATTCCCACTATCCTCAGGGTATTGTCAGACTTTCTAATTTCGAGAACGGTGGTCTTTGGATCGAATCTCCGTCTGGCACATGTTCTAAAATGTATATGGGGATGAGCGTTGCTGGCACAGTCTGCGAAATCCCGGGGGATCGATTACTAATGTTTAGTGGTAAACGTTTCCTTCACTGCACTGAGCCCTGGCTAGGTCGTAGAGTCGTACTTGTCGCTTATACTCTTATGGGAACAATTTCGATCCCCAGGGATGTAGAAGAAAAGTTGCAAGCCATAGGAATTCAGACACCAGAGAGCAGCGAAGTGGAGTATTACTTTCACCACCCGATTGGTCCTGGTCAACCAACCCAACGTAAGCTTCGCTTCCGAAAGCTCTCTGGTGTCTGGCAAGCGGGACGCCTCAACCTGAGACCTCATGAGCCGACAATTGACGTGGATACTCAGGAGACCTATACTGCCCAGCTCCCCACTCAACTTGATGACTCTAGCAACCCTTTTCCACGTCCTGAGTCGGTGCATGACAGTGACTCAGCTGAGACTCTCCTGCTCTCTAGGGCAGTGAGCAGCGGGGTTAATATAGCATGAACATATGTTCACCATTTATTCCCCCAAAGGGCTCCCGAACATGTACTATGGCGACTAGTTGTATTTACACTGTAACCAAACCACTAACCTGCGATCGCGTGCCATGGCTGCTACAACCGCCATCTGGTGCATCTCTGCATGGTGCATGGCGGGATTGATGATACTGCATGGACCTGAAGCTCCCCTGGTGACAGTCATGTGGACTGACGAATGCTGGTATGGCAACTGGGGCCAGAATTTACGCTGTATAGCATGCGGTGGACCGCGGAATTTGGTATATTGCATGGGCCGGGTATGTGACAAGACGTTCTGCTGGTTGGTTGGCGCTTACAGCTGAGTTCTGCCCACTACATGTTGTGTTGGGATATACCCCAAGATGAAAGAGGCAACATCGAAAGGCAGAGTCAGGGGAATTCATTTGTGCATGACTGCATGCATCGACGCTGGAATCTGGCAGCGGTGAGAGCACAACGATCTGCACTTGGTACCCTGGCATGCTGCGAGGTACATGGACATCCTGCGGGCTTGTACATGTGCAGCCCACATGGCATGTGGCGGAACGTACAGAAACTGGAGCAAGACTTGACCAGCAGAAGCAAGAAACAATGCATGTAGCCCGAAATGCTGCAATGAGCGTCTGCCGTTCTGACAGACCCGTCTGGTGGTGGAATACTGCATGTGTGCAACTGCCTGCATTATAATTCGTAATTCACAACTGCTTGCATGTACACAGTCAATGCATGAATACTTGAAGAAGTTGCTCCGTCCCACATAGTCCGTAGGTTTCACCAGTCAACTTCTACAGCACTTAGTTTGAAACATACACTGTAACTTTGGTTAGGTGCGACTAATTGGTTGCGCCTTTGCCGGTAAATGCTGGCATTTGGTTCTTCGTACCGCTGAACCAACAGGTTGCAGCGCGTCGATGTCCTGGGTGCGCTCTCAAATTGTGTAGTGTCATGACAGTGATCTGTCTTCGGTAGTTCAAGATCTTGTTTTCTCTATTGTGTTTTCAGCTCAAGATCTTGAACAGAGGATGGGTCCGCAGGATACAGTCACTTCATCTGTTTTAGCTGTGAATGTTTATACTGACACCTCCTCTTAGTGACGTCTCACTTAGTATGACTCCGAACCTACATGCCTCGCCTGGATTGTCCGAGTGTGAGCGCCGAAACCTTAGGAGGGACAAAATCCCTAGACCTTGAACCCTGTTAAGGCATTCCTGCTAACCAGTTGGAAAAGAGCCTTCACAAAAAAAACGGTACTTTCGTCTGTGGGTCCAGGCAGCACCTCTGATTATAGTGCAAGTGAGTGCAAATGAGCCGATGCTATTGCACCTCGAGATTGCTGGGGACTGTGGCTCAGTAGGGGGAAGAAGGTGGTGAATGGTGGTGAATCCTGTTGATCCAGCCCCGTTCCTGTTGCCTCAGTCTATCAGGCGTTCTGACTCCAAGGATCTTGCAGGAGGGAAAGAAGTGTCAAAAAAAAGACTGTGAACCCGAAACCCTGTAAACCCTATAAACCCTATAAGTCCTAAACGCTATCCCATGCCTGCCCCCAGCGAGTGTGTGAGTCGAAACCCTATGCCAAGGAGTGGCGTCGCCTTCTTTTTTGATCGCCAAGAGGCCGAACGGTGGTGCGCCGAGCCTGTACAGCAAGTCCGATAGGTCGGAGCCGGAGGGCCGCCAAACAAACACGTGGGAGGCAGACTTGAGGGTCTAGAAGTGTTGGGCTTTTGGGTTACGGGGTTTTGAACTGTAGGGTTATAGGCTTATAGGCTAGAGCAGTAGAGTTTAATACTGCTTTCTGAAGGTGCCGGCACCACAACGTGACTCAAAATTGTGCTGTTATGTGCTGGTGGATGATGGCTACAAAGATTATTTCTGAAGGTATCGACGGTGTATCTGCAGCATGATATACGGCAGAGTTTCATCAAGGTCTTGAAAAAGGTTCTTGAAAGGGTCTGTTCACCGGGATCCTTTTACGATGCATGTCTTTTGAGTACGGTTTATGGGTTTCAAAGCTGCGATAACGAGAAGCAGTTTTCTGGGTTCGGTCCAGTTGGCGTCGTTGACCCTTAGCTTAAGTACGGAACTACCGGAGCCCAAACCCAAGCTAGTATTGTCGCAGTATTCTAGTTGCTTGTGTCAAGAAATTACATTTTTTACTTTGAGCATTGGACTGCTACTTGCGGCTGGCTGTGCTCTGCACAGGAATCCGTGAGAATCGTCCGTTCCCCCTAGGAAGATTTAGGACAGAATCTGCCTCTTCCGTCTTTGGAAGCTCTTCAAGAAGTGTGTTTGAACACGTTTCACCTTGAGCCGGAGGATGTGCAGCCGTACAGGATGCAAGGACGGACCCTCTTGCAAGAACTCGAGTGCAAAGATAAGAAGCCAGGCTATGCCGGCGTAGGTCGTAGGTATGCACAGGCACACTTAGTCGTACATAGATGTATATAGTGTATATGTGTATACACGTGTACACATGAGTTAATATTGGATACATGACCTATGCATATATCCAGGCTAGAGGAGCTCCTGCTTTCTTCCTTGACGGAACTGCAGACAAGATCCTGGCAAGACCGAAGCCTCACAGGCGCCAGGGCTTAGGATTTTAGGGAGTGCGTGCAAGTGGCAAGCTGAAGACAGCTTTGCAGTCGACAGGCGCTGGAAGGGTCTCAGGACACCGTGAACCTCAAAAAGAAAATGCAGCTGTAAGCCCTAGGCAAAGTTTGACCGGCTGTCTACGATTGAAGCAGAACTCGATTGCTTCCAGGCAAAAGCAACCAAGATTCCAAAAAAGAAGGCCCTTCATCACCTGTCCAGTTTTCAGTGTTCAGTAGGTTTCGGGGGCGAGCGTCTTCGCCCCACACTTTACTATATTCTTGTGGAGACCGACGGGCATCAAAGGGGCCCGCAAACCACCACGCGTGAGAGTTTTGCAGGAAAAAGCCGAAGATCTTGTGAGGAGTCGGAGACATCCTGAAGCCTCAGCCATGCCAAAAAAACATAATGCTATGCCCTGCCTCAGGGAACCGGATAAATGGCATGTCCTTACCTAGCATGTCTGAGTGGTGTTGGGTGTTTAGGACGGGTGATGGTGAAGCATAGACAGAGTTTCGCGCTTTGCAAAGATGTCCAAAGAAGATCGTGACCGTTCAAGGTGCTAGGCAGCCTTACCACGTGGCCCGTCACGAACGTGAATTGCAATCTCTTGATGTGTTTGGCAGCAGTAGCACTTTCACCGGTAGAGCGCAAGATTGCCGTATAGCATATAGCTAGCTGGGCCTCAAAGCCATGACATCATGACATCTAACAGGCTTCTGTCGCTTTAGGACAGTTTTGTATTTTTCTAGTTAACCCGCATGTTATGCCACCGGTTGACACCTAGCACGGGACTTGAATGGCTCGATCCTTCATACTGCGGCTGACTGCCGAATTTTTGAACTTTGAAGACATGCAGCTGGCAATCGAAAATGCTGGTAAGTATGCGTAAATTTCAAGGGGGAATGCATCTAGTTGCATCTACACCATATAATCGGTATGCCTATATCGATCGGTCTCCGTTTAACCTACGACCGGATGAGCTGCCTGTCCATGTGCGCATTCGCCTTAACAATCTTGTCCTAAATCCGGTTTAGGGGCTTTCAGAAAACGCAATTTACACACACACACACACGTATTCATTTGTTGGTTGTTTGTGTTCGGGTTGGTTGTTGCTTTTTCGTTCCTTGCCCTCATATTGCCGACAGTTCCGTGAGAGAGAGACGGATGTATAGATGCACATGTACCAGACAGCCTCTACACAATCATGCACCTTCATGTTCTGTGGCTGACGGTAGAGAATGAACAAGACCGCTGTCTAAGTCAGACTTTTGGCTCGTTCCATTCGTTAGGTGGTCGGCATGTACACAAGCGACCTCGACGTGTGCATCGGAGTGCCGTCAGAAATTCATGAACGCCGAGTGACTGCGACATCCGCAAAAGGATGGGATAATATTGAAGTTGATGTGGTTGACACATCCTCGAACGAGTCTGGAGCACTACCATCCAGGGAATGGGCTGCGGATCATGTCTTGGAGGGGACCATTGAGTTCCTGGTGTCGATGCAAGCCACCAAGCCAGAAATCCTTCGAGGGATTTTGGTGCATCGATTCCTGCAGCATGCACCGTTTGTGTGGGCTAGGAGAACAGGGCTCGGCACACTCCATGGGTTGAGCGAGGTCACAACGGCGCTTGATGAGTTCTGGTCCCACAGCTGGCAGGTTAAAGCTTCCCTGAAGTACATCAACATACTACACCGGCACAACAGTTTCCCTGCCTTTGTCGTCGGTACACTTTGTGCCTTCGCCGCTTGGGCACTTCGTTTTGCTGGCATCCTTTCAGACGATGAAGCATCGGGAATGATTTCAAGGTTTCGGTCCACTGCCGCCGGTCTCTTGGGCTACTACCTAACACACTGTTCATCTGGCGGCGGCAATGTGTCAAGGCGCGATGATGCACTTAGCCTTTCTTGCCGTAGCTAGGCTGATAGCCACAGTTCCGAGTCATTCAGACCTACAACACATGCCTTGGCGCCCCAGGTTGTGGTGCCTGTTCGAGTTGGCCGCTTTCTTGCACAGCAAAGGATTAGGTACAGATGCAGAGAAGCACCTGGAGATTTGCCCCGTGTTCGTGGGCCCCGCCCTTATGCTGGGCCAACTTGGTCTCAGCGCGATGACGACCACATTGCTCACCTCTCAGGTACCATGGTTACCGTGGGGCATGGTCCTAATTTCCGCTCTTGCATTCCCATTCTTCATGCTGCTCGCATACGTGATTCTCGCGCATTGTCGCAGCATCGAGATGGTGCAGGATCAAGTGCGCCATTTCACCATTGGGAACTCGCTTTCGTTTTGTTGCAGCTGTGGTCACGTCCACCCTCAAACAGGTTCCGTGATGCTGTGTGGTCGCAGCATCATTGTCCGTTGCATCAGTTCTTGGTTCGAGTCTGTCGAGGAGTTCGAAGCCATTGTGAAAGGCAAGGTGCTGAAGGTTTTGGTCCATCAGCTGGCGAATAAGGTCTTCTCGTACTGGCGCATAGTGCAGGCAAGTTGTCCTCTGCTCTGGTTCTACCTCGACCGGGACCTCGACGCAGGGAGTGCTAGGGAAGCTCGAGTAGCGCTCAAGGTAGTTGCTATAGCGAGCGCTTACTATTTCATGCTTATGCCAGCTGCTGCATTGATTTGCCTCCGCCTAGCCTACAGGATGCGCAAGTTCTTTCATGGAAGGTGCCGGAAGTTGCTGTTGTCCATCGGTCTGGTAGCTGCAGGAGCACTGCTGTTTGCTGTCAGCTGGGCCTTCGATTTCTTATTCCTTGAAAGACTTTCAGTTCTTCATTTCGAGACCGACCTGCCTGGCAACTTTGCTTTCTTGGTAATCGCTGGAGCGGTCAATTTGCTGTTGTGGTACTGTCTGCCCGATGAAACCTGAAACGCTTTGAAGAACTTGTAGGCCCTGTAGGCCATCCATAAACTGGATTGAGTTTTTCGCGGTGGCCGTTGGATTGTTTCTGTAGCTTTTTTGAAGACTGTTGAACCAAGATGGCAGGACTGCCTGTAGTTCTTGGCATGAAGATCTCTGCAGGCTTGTTAAGAAGTTTCACGTGACTCTGGCTCGCCGATTAGGGACGGAAGAAGATCAGCGGAATCCTGAAAAGATCAAAGCTTGAATGCATCAAGGATTGACCTCTTCCTCTTTGTCCGGCTGTTTGTAATGAAAGTGAGCCCAAATATTCCGGTATGAGGGCGATGATGATACTAAGAGTCAGTGACGTAAGTCTTGCTGGAAAGGCGCATCCTGTGCATAGCCTTCATCTCATCAGCACGATTCCCCCAAAGCATGAAGCCAGAATCCCCAATTCTAGAAACCTTCCAGCACCAGGCGCTAAACGCCTTGCATGAACCAGAAACATCAAAACAGGCCAACAACGGTCGGGGAGCAGCTCCAGAAGAGTTTTGAGCTGATAAAACCCTGAAGCAAAGAGGACAGGGGCTCCAATCCCCCCCAAGTCTGAGGACTTGACTGAGGGTCTTGCTGTGGCAGCTAAGTCCGGATTTGCGCCGAATGTGATGCATTCTTTCACTTGCAGGCTGTAGTGAGACATAGTAATATAGTATCCTAGTAGTAGAGTAGGTAACCTTTAACCTTTTTGGGTAGTATAGTCCCTATATAACCATGATACCCGACAAGTAGGGTATGCGTTTCAGGAAGTTCGGCCCCAGGTGGGACTCAACAACAACGAAGGTGGAAGTAGGACCAATGAGGTCTTGATTATCTCTTGCATCTGTGCCTGGTGTAAATAAGCCCTAAAGTTCCTAAAGCCCTCGTCCGAAGCGTGCAGTTTCCCGACGACAAGCCTAAATGCCGGAAAATGCTGGAAAAAGCCTTGAGTGGTTTGGGTGACCAGGTACCGTATGTAATAGGCATGCCAAATTCCAAATGCAAGGCCCGAGAACCTCCAAAGGCTGCAAGGGGAGTGGCACTCAGCAGAAGCTGGGGCCCCAGGACGATCCTGCGCAGAGACTGTCGGGTTTGGGGGGCTTTGGGGTTTGGGGGTGTAGGGCTTAGGCTTTTAATTTCGAGGGCCGGAGGCCTGGATGCAAAGAAGGACCCTAAACCCACTTCGTTTCAACTGCATCCCTGAGGAACAGGATGAGCCTTCGGAAGAGATGTCTTGTTTTAGTCAGATTGGTCCCTGCATTTTCTTCTCAGGCGATCCTTTGACTCTCTTCCAGAGCTTGCCAGCTGTTGTCTTTTCCGGGCAGTCGTTGATCCGAGACCACTCTGGAGCGCGTCCTGAAACCAAATGTGAGAGTTTCCCATCAGTGAATGTTGATCCAAGCCGTAAAACATAGGATAGCAATCATCAACAACACGTTGTTTCATCTAAGAATGCCTCAGGGGTGCCCTTCTTGCGGCCCCGCAAAAGTCACTCTGAGCTGCGGCAAGGGCTCCTGCATTGGCCAAATCCAGGGCGGCTGCCTCGTTTGGCACCGGTACGGGACTCACATTCTAAAGCTGAGAATGCCTGATTGAGAGGTCCTTCCGACATTGACCCTGTTACTTCAGTTTTGCATTGAAGCTCCGAGACTACATATGCCCATGTGGAGTACTTCAAAAGTCGTTGAACGCGGCCCGCAGAATCATTGTTGCATGTATCTTATTTGCATGTATATAGTCCGGCTGCTACAACACACGAAGCTTCCCACACGTCAGGGCTCTTGCCCCCAAGGCATGTGTAGTTCTGGGCTAGACACTGCAGAATGCATGGGCAGTCGTTCTGTGCTTGTCGTCGGGGGAGGACTCCAGATTTCTTCGATCGCTTTGGGCTCCGGGAGTTTCTGATTTGATCGTAGGAAACAGGAACTGTGGGCATCCTTGCATCAATCGCGGTGACAGGTAAAGGTCTCTGGGGCTAGCTGCAAATAACATCCCGTGCATGATGCTGAAAACTTTTCCTCCCACTCAGGCCAAGTTTGAGTGTTGTTACAGAAACCTGCCTTAGGACCAGCGACGGGTTACCCCATGCTGTGATGTCGGAAGGTCTCTCGGTGCTCATCCCACTAACTTGTTCATGGAAGACGGCGACAGCCTCAGATCTTGAGTGTGCAAAAAGTGCAGCTATTTCGAGCAATGTAGATTCGTCTTGTTGAAGGTCTGTCTCAAGAGGGAGACCTAGGCCCCTTCTGAAGCTAAGGTCGTGTGCTCATGGAGGAGGAGTCCACTACTCATTCGGCCGGGCCCTCAGCGAGACGAACCAACGATGATGCGAGCCCTAAAGAATCGCAGCAGTTGGGCCCAGGCCGTCATCGATTGGGGCCCGCCTGCCCGAATGAAATGGGACGACGGCGAGGAATGGATTCGTGTCGGAGGCAGTCCGGCACTTATTTGCTAGATGCTCCCGGCAGAACAACCCTAAACCCTAAGCCCTTGTAGATAATGATCTGTTGCCATTGCTTCGCATAGTGACTGAGGTCAAGAGGAAGGCTTGTCCAGCAGCAGACATGCAGAGCCCAGCGGTGGTTAAGATAGCCAGTGCGCGATCGGCATTCATTGTTGTTTGTATGGCCTGGGATTCACATTGATTGAAGGCGGCAGTGCTGTGTTGTCGCAGAAAACTGCAACTGTCATTGAGCCCCGTGCTGGCTCAAGATCTGCTCCCGCTCGCAGCATGCCCTCTTTAGATTGGAAGCTGAGATCGGGCCACCCAATCTTCAAGCCGTGGCTACCTTCAGGTGTAACTAGCAACAGCTCGAGAAGCAAAACTGTTGCAAGATCCGTTTGGATGATACAAGGCTTGCCGCAGGCCATTTTGCCAGCAGCCGCTACGAACTGCACGTTCCCGATGGCATTCAGCGCAGTCATCAGAAGGCTTAGGAAACGACGTGCATGTGCAGGTGTAGGTGCCTGAGTGGCCTGATGTGCCTTTCTTGGTCGACCTGGTGTTTCGCTGGCCTGCAGCCGAAAAGTCTGTCCAGAGCCTCGTGCATCGTGCTTCTGCGGCATGGGGAACGTGAGGACTACATGGCCGAGAAGGCTCCCCGAGCTTGTTTGCAAAATTGTGCCCTCAAGCACTACAGCACGCTGGCCAGTTGAATGCATAACAAAGTCGCAGATCTGAACTGCCCAGAGTACAGGTCGACTTCATAGTCGCAGCCTTCAATCAATACCATGCTCTGTTCCAGGCAGGGAAGGGTGCGGATTGGATTGCTACTGCGACGCGCCCCTGGGACCCGCCGCTTGCGGCCAACGGCCGCCTGCAAGCCGCAGCCGCGGCCACCCGCCTCCGCCAGGCACATGGGCACAGGTGGGGTTATAATCAGAGGAGATTTTTGGTCTTCGGGCCATTAAGGATTTGGGGTTCCAGGTAATCGAGCTTGCAGTTTATTGTGGTTTTAGGGTTTGCATAGGGTTTGTGCTCTCCCGGAGGCATTGCCTGCAAAACAACATAACAAGTGGTTGAAGCTCGTTGGCAGAGTGTCTCCCCCAGCGCCAAGTCACTATGATGCACGAGTCACTACTGGTTCGTCTTATTCTTCTGTTGCTGTTGCTCATTCTGTTGTTGCTGCTGTTGCCGCTGCTGTTGCCGCTGCTGTTGTCGCTGCTGTTGCGGTTCTTGCTGTTCGTGTTGTTCTTGCTGTTGCTGCTGCTGCTGCTGCTGCTGCTGCTGGTGCTGCTGCTGCTGCTGCTGCTGCTGGTGCTGCTCGTGTCGCTGGTGGTGCTGTCGCTGGTGTTGGTTGTTTGTTGTGTTGTTGTTGTTGTTGTTGTTGTTGTTGTTGGTGGTGGTGGTGGTGGTGGTGGTGGTGGTGGTGGTGGTGGTGGTGGTGGTGGTGGTGGTGGGAGTCTGGTTTCTGGTTGTTGGCTGTGGGCTGTGGGCTGTGGCTGTGGGTTGTGGCTGCTGCTGATGCTGCTGATGCTGCTGCTGTTGCTGCTACTGTTGCTGTTGCTGCTGTTCTGTTGTTGTTCGTGGCGGTGTGGTGGAAGTCGAGGCGGTGTTGGTGTTGGCGGTGTTGGTGACTTTTGCTTCACAGTGCCCTGCCCTGACCCCTCGAACATGCGAAAAAACGAGATTGCACCAGCTCAACATTGCTCGAGCAGGTCGGTCCAGGGAATCAGAGCAGCATAAGTTGAGGTATGAATGCAAGGATGGGTTGAGGGTCCTTTCCCAGTAGCTTCCTTGAACTCTCTTTAGTCACCAGAAGTGGATGTTGAACTTGTCACCCCTATTTCCAGGGAAAGGAGGGCCTAGGACTAGATGTTCAGTGAAGTCACCTCTTATCCCCAAGTGCTCCTGAGGTGCTTCAGGGAGCAGGGATACCTATGCCCACTCAGATCTTTACCTCGCCACTGGTGCGCTGTGTCGAGACAGCCGATTTCGTTGCAAAAGAGTTCGGTGTGAGCTCTTTGCAAGTGGAGGCATCTTCGGGCCCTGGGCTGTTGCGGGATCCTACGGTTTTTTTCCGGGCGGGTCACCCAGCACTGCAAAGAGAGCAGCATGAGGCCAGGCCGCTCAAATCTGATTTGCCCAGCAAGCACCAGCTAGAGCTTCACAGGTACAAGGGTTGTGGAAGTCGCTCCAAGACGAGCCTGTGAGCTGGTTCACCATTTCTTGTATCTTTCTCGATCCCCACCTCGGTGAGTTCGGATCCTCATCGGTTTTTGGTTTGGTTGACACGGCCATTGTCGGTAGGGAGGTGGCTTCACAAGTAGGGGAATGAAGGCTACAAGTACCGCCTGATGCGATGCTTTTGCAGAACGGCCTGGCCGAATCCATCTACGAAGCGTGGATGCGGTGGCGCGGCCGCAATAATGTGGGTCTTGGTGTTTCAAGGCTTCGACAGTTGCGAGTCTCCAAGCGCATTTTCTCCGGGGTGTTGCGGAATTTGAAATCACAAGACGTCAAGGTGTCGCATGCGTTCAGTTCTTAGCGC